TCCGCAAAATGGAGTTAATAGTACTCTCATAGGGATTTTTTTATGCATGAAGATGAAAGGAGACAACATGTAAAGTGATTAGCATGGTGCTGGGCAGCTAATAGGGGATCAGAAAAAGCCAGTTTGCTTCCTCTGCTGGTATCCTGGGGACCACATGGGTTCTGGTGAACTAGGCCTTCCTCACAGCTGCCTCTGTCCCCTGTAGAATCCACTGCCGGCATCTCCCACTGCTCCCCTCTTCCCTTCCTTGCATCCTAACACTCCACCTGCCAGAATCAGAACCAGAGTACTTCTGATCTTTAGAGCTACCCACCATGCCCCCCAAGGGCAGCTGGCCCTTGACAGGGGTGGCAGGTGGTGTGCTCTACTGCGTAGCCTGGGAAGGGAAAGCAGAGGGGTCTGTGGTGCAGGGAGAGAGCAGAAAGGAAGCAGTTATGCAGAGGGCAGGAGAGGGGGGAGATGGAGGCCACTGGAGGTGTTCTGAGTCCTTGGTTCTATCTGTACCTGGGCCTGGGTACATGCCTGCCTCTGGCTTCTAAGAGACACCCCTGTGGACTCAAAGCTAACTCCAGGGACTGTTTCACATTCAACACAGGCACTCTGAACAGTGTATCTACAAGACCAGAAAGCACAGAGCCCAGATCTGTGAAGAGGATGGCCTTCCAAGATGAGCTGACACGGGCAAGTGACCTAAAGGGAAGAGCTCTGTATTCTAAACAAAACGGCTGAAGAAAAGGACCACTTCCCTGTCATTGCCAGCTCTGGGTTTGGGCCTGAGAAGGACCAGATGAAGTCCTGACTGGGGGCCGACTGCCTACCAGACCATGACCTCCACCTTGGCTTCAAATACGAAGTTAAAACAGTGATGCTCAGCGGAGGGTCATCTTCCAGACCTCTCCACCACACATGTTCTCCGGCCAACTGGTGGCCGGAGTGAAGTTGGTAAAAAGCAGGGTCTCACTACACTCAACAGCAAGGGGACAGTGGTAGCAGGTGGATCGTGAAGGAATTTCAATGAGGTTACAACTGAGAATACACAATCTAATACAGTGAAGGGCAGTGCTTCTCAAATTTTATCATGCGTACTAATCAACTGGGGATCTTGTTGAAACGTAGATTCTGTGTCAGTGGGCCTGAGCTGGGGCCTGAGATTCTGCCTTCCTAACAAGTTAACAATGCTCATGCTGCAGGCCCGTGGGCCACAACTTGAGCAGCAAGGAGCTAGGCCACCCTAAATGAGCCCTATCTTTAAAGAGGAGTCATTTAGAGGGAGCAAAGGGGACCCACGGCACTGCCCTCAATCTGCCTAGGTACAGCCCTGTGATAAGGGCAGGTCATGATTTCAGCCCTGGCCCTAGGTCTGCTAGGAGGACTCCCAGTCAGCCTTGTCACTCCTCTGGGCTGCACACAATTTAAAAACCTCCTAATTCTAAATGTCCTTGCTCCCACTAGGAAAACACTGGAAGAAATGAATTCATTTAGTGCTCAGCAGTGCCCACCTCAGTACACACTCTATAGGTATGTGCTGCTTTGTATATTGGGGTGAATGAAACAAACTCCTTTGGTGGCAGGTAGAAAGGAGGCAGAGAGAGGGTCCCAGGAAACTGGCAGTCACGGGGGCCATTCTGCCCACTATGGCTTATGAATACACTTGGGGGCTTTCATATGGGAACATTCATGATGAGAACAACCCATCACAAAAGGTTCCGCAGGAATGAAGGTCAACAGGGACACTCATAAATTACCCTCATCGTTCTGCTCATTCCCACTTAGATCCATTCTCAATCCTCTGCCCAGCTGGCTCTGAACTCCGGGAGGCTGACCCTGAAAGACTGTCACCTGGGCATCTCTGCTCTCTGGCTCCCAGTTGGGATCAGCCAATGAGACACACCAACAGGGAACTGGAGAGTGGGAAGAGAGGGTGGGGGAGCACATCAACTTCCCACTTCCTCATGGCTCTGCTAAGGGCCACACACCCCTATGGCCACCATGTGTGTCTGGGGCCCCGTGCCAGGCCTCCAGCCCCTGCTTCCTCCCTTTTCCCCTTCAGGCCTGCGACGGTAGCCAGTTCCCCCTGTTGCTGGTGCCTGGGGACTTCACTATTCCTCGGTGGTTCTCCTAACTGCCTTCTGTACATAATCTGTGCATTAACAACTCTTAGGTTAAAGCCTTTTTTTTGGGCTGCACTGTGCAGCTTGTGGGACCTCAGCTCCCCAACCAGGGATTGAACCCAGGCCATGGCAATGAAAGCCCGGAATGCCAACCACCTGGCCACCAGGGAACTCCCTTCAGTTTACTGCTGGGACCCTGAGTGATTATTAAGTCATCTCCGAGAGCAAATCCCTCCACAACTCATAAGAACGAAGCCACGAAGGCCCACACGCAGATCTTCTCAGGGCACCCTTCTCACAGTAGACAGATGTGGGCACGAGACCCAAGGGCAGGTCATTTGCCCCCCGGCACACAAGTACGCAGATCATTCCATTTCTCTGTGCTTAGATAAGTTCCTTGAGATTAGGGTTAGTAGGTACAGACCAATCCAGCTGCGATTCGGCTGGCAGCACAAGGAGCCAGCATCATTTCTTTCTTTTTGTTTTTTCCTCAGCCTCATTTCTGAGGTCATTTGTAGGGTGAGAAATCATACGTAGGAGCCAGGGTCTTAAGTGAGCACCTGGTTAAAGGGGAACTGCTCTGTTCTGGTTGCGCTGTGAGGTAGTTAACAAATAAAAAGCCACAAAGTCTCATGTGATTCAGCTGATGTTTAATTACAAGGAACCCAGGTTCTTACACGAGGCAGGAGATGGGAGCCAGCAGTTCCCCACAACAAGCCTTTCCGGCCTGAGTGGCTGAGGCTAAGGAGATGGGGACACATGGAACACACGGGTGGGGTGGGGGCTCTGGCACAGTGTGTCCTGCCCAAAGCTGAGGGTAGTGGCCACTGCGGATCTGCCTCCTCGGCTGGCCCAGGCCTGCCATCACTCCACGAGGTAGGACTCTGTCTCCTGCGGTCGCATGTTGGGTAACACATACAGAGCCACAGCTGCAAGGGCCAAGAATACCATAGGCTTCCACATCCCAAACATGTTCTGTGGGGACCAAAGACAAATGGTGAGTGCCCAGCCTTCTGAACTCCTCCCTAAGCTAGAGATCCCCTGCCTTCTGGTGCTGGAGAGATACCTCAGAAACATCATCATGGTCCAGTCTTTCTTATCTCCTGGGTAACCGCTGCAGACAAATGTGGGCTTAGTCCTGGCACCACTAGGTATCTGGAACAACACTACGTGGATGACCTGAGCTGGCTGCCTGTATTCATGCCCCGTGAGGTGAGAAGAACCAGCTCCTGCGTGTAGGAGCAAACTCAGAAGCAGATTTCAGAGAATCCAAACGGTTGCAGCAAAGGATCGGATGCCACGGCAAGAAAAAGAGGGTAAATTTGGGCCCCTGGGAAATGCAGCAGCATCATTAAATGCTTGACGGAGGAAAAGTGAACTCAAGAGGATGATAAGACTGTGGGGGAGCGAAGAAAGTGCACCAGAGTACAGCAAACATGAGGTTCTTAGGCAGCCCAGACCGTTTGTGGAGAATGATGTCCTTGAAGGAGACTGAAGGAAGTTGGTCACTGGCCCAGGGAGGCAAACACCAGGGTCATTAAAACACCTCCTTGGAGAAAACAGGAGAAGTAAAGAGCAGGCTGATGGCAGCCTGCTGTACAACCATTTGTACGTGACTGATAAGCTGGATGAGGGCCTGGAGAGGAACACTCTAGAGGCTCGCCCTCACCTGTAACCTGGGTGAAGATAAGAAGGTGGCTGGTCACCCCTGAGGATGAGGTGAAGCTGGTTGCAAAAGTGAGTACTTTGAAACCACAGGGTCAAGATTAAAAATAAATGCAAAGCTTCATAGGTGAGAACAGTGGACAATGGACTAGATCTAATAGAGATGAATGGAACATTCTGCCTTGGATCCAAAAAATCAACTGCAGGCAGAGAAAGGGGAGAGAACGCTTAGCATATGCAATGTGCAAAAGGCTTTTATAAACAATACATGAAATAAGTTAGCAATGTGATATTAGTTATCAGAGAGCTAACGTGATCTGAGGCTGCACGAAGAAGCTGCTGTGTGGTGTCTTCCTACTTACTTGGGAGCAACCAATGAAGAGAGACGATAAGGGGAAACAGGATTGGAATTTTATCTGATGCTAATATTAAGTCCTTAGAATCTGATTCACAATTTACTGGCTGTATTACATAACCCCTCTATGCCTTAGTTTTATCACACGTAAAATGATAGCTACCTCAGAGGGTTATTGTGAGAATTAAATGAGTTAATACTTATCAGATGACTAAACAGTGCCTGGCATATAGTATGCATTATGTAAGAGTATGCTCTTTTTATTATTTATGTGGTGTTTTATCATTTATAAAGTACCTTCATATAAATGAACTCATCTGTTCCTCACATGAGGAAGCCAGAGGATTTATCATCCTTTCCTTACATTTGAAGAAACTAATGTTCAGGTTATGCATTTTGCCCACTGGGACTAAGCTCTAAGAAACAGAGACAGACTCACCCAAGGTGTCTGCCCGCTTGTCAGCCACACTTTCTACTCTACTCTGCTGCCTCAGTTTCTGGATGGGAGCTGCATGCTGGGCCGTAGCCAGGCTCTGGGTATAACAGGCTCCTCCAAGAGGACGCTTACCCGGGAGTTCCTTCCTCTCACTCTGGTCAGGCCCGGCTGGGTTTGAGTTGGTGAAAGGTTATGGCTGAATGCTTTGGGTCTCATCCCACATGGACCCAGAAATCTGGGAGTGTACAGGGAGGAACAGGTACAGGGAGAGACCCCTCTCACCAAAGGAGTTAAAGACTGACCGTGGTGAGTAACTGGAATGTCTAAAAGAAGAAAGGAGAAGGGTTGAAGAGAAAAAAAAAAAAAGTGAGGAGGAAAAAAGGCAGGACAGAAAAGGAAATAGTGATAAATGCTACCCACAAATGCTCCAGCGGTCACTCTGAACCTATGCAGTGAGCCAACTACACTCCATTTACAGGGATGTGAGAAGAGAGGGTGGGGGAGTGGGAGTGGCAGGGGGAGCGTGGGAAAGGAGCCAAAACAGGCCAAGAGAGAATAGTTTATGGGTCTGGAAGGGTTCTACCTTGGGCCATGAGACTACATTCTGCCTCCTGAATTTGGTGCCCTGTTGACAGATCAGATTACGTGGACTGGTGCCCAGAATATATCAGTTTGGCTCCCTGAAAACACTGCATTTCTGGTTAGTGGAAACTTCTCACCAATACCACATTCTCTCCAGAAAGCCTAGCTTGGGAAGCCAATTACAATAGAATCTGACCCCCAAAAGGGATGTGGCATTCTTGTTCTGATTTTTTGGAGACTAGAATCCCCAAACCAGAGAACTTCTCAGTAGAAAGTACATAATATGATAAGAGTTTGATGCCAAGGCTGAAGGACGAATCGAGGTTCTCCTCATACAGATGACCTTCGGGGATCACAACTCTCCAGACCTCCTCTCTCACCCAAGTGGGGAGGCAGTGATTCCTTATTCTGCCATCCTGGGTAGTGACCGTAGTGAGAGCTTGGCTCTGGGGCTAAACAAAGACAAAGAGCAGCCAGGCCAGCCTTGTAGTCAGACATCAGCTCATCAGAAGTAGTCGAGGGAGCTTTGAAAGTAGCCACAGTGCTGGGATCATTCAACTTTTTCCCAGCCAGAGTACAGAAACTCAAACTATGTCAATGGCGAGCACTCCAATTCCGTACAAGTTAGGGAGACATTCTCTGAGACGTTATGGGCTTTGCAGTAGCCCAAGGAAAAGCCAGGGCTAAAACTCAGACCTGACTATCACCTGTTGTAAAATGGCAAAAGCAAGAAGCAAGCGGCTCAGAGAAAAGGGAAAGTGGAGAGGCCAGGGCAACCTGCACCCTCCCTCTATCCCTCAGAAGGAGGGGACGCAATACCAGTACCTGCGTTAGGACGACGTCTCAGCCCACCAGCACCAGAGCAAAGCCGATATGACCACCAGGCCTACGAGAGGCAAGGAGAAGATGGGGGGATTGGGGGCAGGGGATGGCTGCAACATATCAAATGAGAAAGAGGCACGAGGAGAGACCAGAGATGAGAGATGGTATAAAAAGACATAAACACGTGAATCCAACAGATAATGAAGATGATAAAACAAAGGGAAAAGGGAAAGAGATCAAGAGGTTAAACAACAGGTAAGCGAGAGCAGCGGTATTTCTTCTCCGCTACTCGGGCCTGGTTCTTCCCGTGGGTCGCCTATGGGAGATGCAAAACTGCAAGGGTTAAGCAGCGGCGTAGGTCCAATTCGGGGCCACATTTTTGGCTTGTCATATCCCTCTTATATCTTGTCAAGCAAGGGTTATCTGCACCTAGACCCTTCTTGTAGGTCAGTAACTGGAAAAGTGAAGCTCCAGAGAGTAAAGCTGGGCCTTCCGGATGAGCAGGATGTCTACTTTGCCTGGGTCACTCTAGGAAGGGCAGCCTCCTGCCAGGCCACCTGTCCCTTTGTTAGCCGCGTGTTCTGGCTGTGTTCCACCAAGTCTCAGTGTTCTGGGACATCCCCTAGGAGTCTGATGCTGTCGTTGTGAGACAAAACGCACTAAAACAAGCTAACGATGGAGAAGGGCGAGTTCTTGACTGCAACCATCTTCCAGGGAGAAAATGAATTTGCAGGCGGTAATACATATGCCAGCAGAGCTGCCTGTAAAAGATGCAGGACCCACTGAGGCAAAGGGACACCTCCACATGCAGACACAAGGAATGTACTTGATTGTGATGTAGAAAAATCCAGTTTCGTGTTTAGAAAGCTGGCACATGAGGCAAGGAAATCTACGAGGCTCTGAACCAGCATGTGGCAGGGTATGAAGAATTCAAAGAAATAGAACACTGGGGAAGGGGCTGTGGTTACTCCTACTTTTCACATCCTAAACAATGGTTCTCTGCCATGAGGTTGACAGAGAACTGTAACTGGGTCCTTAGCCAGTGCTGCAGACTGAACTGACTGAACTGCTGAAAATTCCAGATAACTTCGAGATGACTGGGGCATCCCACCACAAGAGACTTATTTTCTTCCCCTGTGTTTAAAAGGACAGAAAGAACCTGTACTGCAAACTGAGGACTTATTCAGGTTCTACTCAAACCCTTCGGAAATCAGAGCCCCCAGTTAACTTCAACCAGGGCAGAGATTCAGCTAGTTATGTTCCTGTATAGATGTACCAGTTGTTAAAATACAGAAATATTTTTGTACAGTTGGTACATTACCCAGGATACTCCCACCCGACCTCTCCAGATCCGGTAACTAAGGGGTCAGACCTCTGGCTGGTCTCCCAAGACCGGCCAACGGCTCTGCTGTAGAGACGGAAACATTTTATCACTTCCGATCGGCCCTGGCCCCCACTCTCATGCCCTGTAATATTACATAGAGCCCGGCAGGCGACAGCAGCCTCTCCACACCCCTCACGGCAACAGAGGTCAGCCCTAATAGGGCACCTCGGGAAAGCAGGACTGGGTGACTTGCCCAGGCTGACAGAAATGCGTGGTGCGGTGCTAGCGGAGGGTGAAGAACCCTCCTGAAGTGAGTAACGAGAGTTATTACCACATAAATGAAAGGAGGCAGGACTCCGACCGGCACGCCCCGGTTCCCAGAGAAGGTGCTTTCTGTGAGACAGTTCCACAGCCTTTCCCGCAGAGACTGCTCTCTCCAATCCCACCTCCACCTCCATTTTCCCCAGTGCGACGCCTCAGAGCTTGCTGGCCTCTACTCCTGTAGAAGTCCATCCAAGGGCTGTGTCACACCTGAACGCTGGGCACCTGCGCCCAAGAGCCCATTCCCCACATGATCCTGCCTTTGGCTGTGGTTACCTTTTTGCTCTCAGAAGGCTTGAGGGGGTTGCTTCCCTCTGAAGCTTCATCATCCTCCTCCCCTTGGTCGTTGCCTTCTTCCTTACCCTCCTGGCTGTGGAACTCTTCATATCTCTCCTCCTGGTCTTCTTTGAATTTAACCTCTCTAGGACCTGATGGCTCAGAAACTAGTTCATCCCAGGACTCCTTTGTTTCGTCCTCAATTGCCCCCGTTTCGTCCTCAATTGCCTCCTTCGTTTCCTCTTCTATTTCCTCTTTCGTTTGATCGTCCAAGGCCACGTGGCTGGCCTTGTAGTACAGCACCACCTCCAGACTCTGTGGGGCGGAGGCAGTACAGGATGGGGGATGTTGTTACCTGGAAAGATGACTACCCTCATGACGATGCTTAACTACCTCAAGAACACGCTGCTTCCCACAGTGCACAGACAGCACTGTGTCCTGGGACTGAACTGATGTCCCGCGCACAGTGGGGAGGGTGGCCACACCCAGCCTCTCTGGACCCGTACCACATCTATCTGGCCATTAGCCATTTCCAACCGTTCCCAGAGCTAAAGATTCTGCACCTCAACTGCTGCTTCCTACCCTTGCCTGGTGACCCCCCATTTTATCCAGTCCTCTTCCACCTATATGTACACAACTGCTTTGAGTAAATCCCCCTCTTTCCATCCATTTGGTCCTTCTCTTGGGCATGTGACCCAAGAAGAACAACAGGGGCCCCAGAAAATTGCACTGGTCTCACTGAAACAGTCATCCAGCCTAGGGGCTCCAGGTCTGAGTGGTCTGTATTCCACTCTCCCCTTGACCTCACAGGAAAAGGGAGTACCAAACTGCTATTAAGATAGAACTACTCTAGACACATTAGAGATCCCAGAAGCTTCTCTGCAAATACCTCATCTGGTCGGAATGGTGGTGAAGGTGATTTTCCTTCCTAGGATCCCCTTTAACTTTCTGCTTATCTGGCTACCAAGGTTACTACTCACCTTTCTGGTCTCACAGCTGACCTCAGAACTCTCCAGGCTTGGCTCGGCCACCTTTTTACTTTTAACCCCATTGGCATTCTTATTCATGTTCTTATTGCCATTCGTTCCCTTGGTTTCTTTGGTAACAGAGGACCTCTTCTCTTTGAGCTGGTGAAGCTCTTCCTGGCAGCACTGCAGCTGCCCCTCCAACTGCTCCTGCACGGCCAGGAGCCGCCCCCGCTCATCCACGCTAGCCTGGTACTGTAGCTGCAGCTCCCGCAGCTTGGCCTGCAGTTCTTTGATCTGTTGGTAGTGGAGGCCCAGTTATCCACAGCTGGGCCTACGTGATCAGCCTGGCCCCTGCTTCAGAAATCTCCCTGCTAAAGCCCAGGGGGACGTAGATAATACAGAAAACATTAAACTGTTGAAAGTGAGCCTCTAAAGCAGTTTTAGAGGTTCTCCCTAACTTGAGCACTTGATGACTTACATCTAACATGATCAAAAAAGGATGACTAAAATTATGCTTCTACTGTGAACTGTCAGGGGAATGACAGAAGGGCTAACCCCTTCTGAACCGTGGGGCTTTATTACGTAGTTGTTTTTGATGGGAACTCCTACTTTGCCCAAGCTATTTCTCTAATAGGTACAATCATTACTATAGGAACTGTGTTGTATACTCCTGAGACTGGACCTGGGCTCCTGCACCTCACCCTGGAAACGGAGGCAAGGGCCAACCCTGCTCCCTACTCCCTGGTTTTGTCTTTCCTGGCTTCTGGCAGCACATCATGGCCTCCTTGGGCAGGTCCCAATACTAAGCAACCTAGGCCCACGTGTTTCTTGCTCTCTGAGCCTCTCCCATGCGTACAGTGACCCCCACTGGACAGAGGACTACTCTTCGTCAGAGACGATGCCCTCCGTCCCATTCCTAGCGGATGCACAACACTCTGCTTGGCATTATGAGAGATCCAGAAGAAGACACAGCCCTGTCCTTGAGGTGCTTACAATCTAGTTGAAGAGAAGAGACAAGGTGGAATACACACAAACTAAAGAAAATTGGAGGTAAAAAAAATACAACTCTATAGAAGTGCTCTAGGACAAAAGAGAACAGATGTGGCAAAGGGGAAAAAAAAATCATTCAAGGAGTCTTGATGATCAGTAAATCCCAGCACAGCAGGCGCCTGAGAAATGTCCATCAGTGGCACAACAGCCTGCCCAGCCTCTTGGGGTTCAGCCCCTGCTCTGTCCCTCTGACCAGGAGGAGGGCAACTGTACAGAGCTGGCAATGAGCTCCTCTCTCTCTCAGCCTCTCTGAAAGGGCTCCGACCTCCTCTGGCTCTAGGGACTCCTACCTGAAACCCTGCCTCCCTGGTAGCAGTTACCTCGTGCTCCTCATTTTGGGAGGCAACAGTCTTCTCCAAGCGTTCCACGCGCTCCTTGAATTCCTTCTCGCAGGCATCCAGCTCTTCCTTCGGCCCTTTCTGCTTGTCTAGCAGGTTTCTCATCTGCTGCCGCAGCAGGTCGTGCTCCTCCTGGCTGAGCTGGTACATGGCCTGCACTCCCTGCAGCTTGATCAACACCTTGGCAACTGTGTCCTCAAAGCGCTGTGGAGGGCAGGGGAGCGATGACGGCACCCTGAGGAGCCCCTGCACTCCGCCCACTCTCTTCGCTAGGCCCTTTCTTGGGTACCAAACAATGGCCACAAGGATCTGAAGCTGCCCGGGGGAATCCTGTATTTCTTCCCAGAAAGAGCACCATGACTGTGTTGATGAAAAGTCCTGAATCTTAGACTTCCATCCAGATGGAGCATCTCCGTATGAGGCGGGCAGAGTACCTCATTTATTTCCTGTAAGTTAGTTACCCTGCTCAGCTCTGAGCCCACTGCCCACTTCACCTCTTGTGCCCTTCCCCGTGACTTCTCTCTTAATAAGACAAGAACCTTCTTCCCCTATCTGACCTGACATCTGGTTACTTTTACCTCCATATCTTCAGGATCGGCAAGTTCGTCGTCCATGCTGCTGCTGACGTAACTCTTGTGACAAGTGTCAGAGCTCCTGCTGGTGCCGTAACTCCTCTTATAGGCAATGCTGCTGCTGCTGCTGCGGTAACTCCTCCCACAGGACTCCCCAGTACTGGTGCTCCTGTCATAGCTCTGGAGGACGCTCTCTTCGCTGGCCTGGCTGCTGTTGTACCTCTCGTGACAGCTCTCGTTGTCATCAATGTTACAATCTCTGCGACAGTTCTCGTTGCTGGTGGCCGTGGTCCCATAACTCTTCTTGTAGGACTCAAGGCTCATTTTCACAGAAGGGGACTGGACTTGGAGCATGTGCATTTCTTCCAGGCAGAGCTGCAGGTCGGCCTGCAGCCTCTTCCGCTCCTCTAGAAGCCGCTCCTGCTCCTGCTGCCGCAGCTCCTGCTCAGCCTCACTGGCCTCGTACAGCTCCTGCAGAGCCTGCATCTGGGCGATGATCACCTTTGACTGCCAGGAGTGGGCGGGGAAACAGCATCGTTACCCTAGACACTGCAGTCCTTCTAGCTGCACCCCTCCTGGTGCAGACATCTGAGAGCACAGGTCAGAGCACTGCACACCTTACCCTCCCGTCTCACCACAGCCTAGATCTTTGACTTTGCCTACAGGTAACTGGCATGTGTCAATTTTTTGCTCACTGGAGAAAATCTCCCTGGGACAGATAGTCCACGATTTCTGGCCTCCCATTTCTGCTGGTTTCCATATGCTCTGGTAACTTCCTATCTCACAGGAAGCAGCACTGAGTGGATCTCAAGGTCACTCGGGCTCCCTCCCCTTCCCTCTTCTCAGTCAGGTGTATCCATTATCCTGACCTCTGGGGCTCAGTCCCCTCTGCCACCGGCAATTCTAAAATCAGCCCTGGCCTTGAATACGCGCATATGAAGAACTTCTTCCTCAGAAGATGCAGACTTGGAATCAAGGTCTCACTACAAGTCCCTGTCGTAGTGAGGGACTCCTCCTGCCTCAATTCTGAATCTGGCCCCTGGGTATGTTTCCCAGGCCCTCGGGGCCTGGCTTCTTGGGAGCTCGTGCCCAGGATGAGATCTGATTGGTTAAGGGAATATTTTATACCTGGTTCCTGGTGTCTGCTATCCGGGCTGAAATCTGACACCCCTGGAATCTGACCAAATCTCAGTTTGGACTTCCGCTATTCCCTACATCTATCTGCCTGTCTAGGCTAATACCTGAACAAATAGATTGAAATTGAATAAACTTCAATTTCAATGAATTGAAACTGTCTACCTGCTCTTCCTTGCCCCCACTGAGGCCTCAGACCAAATGCATCTCCCAACCCTGAACAGACTTGTCTAGAAATCTCCTTCAGTGTGACCTCAGAGGCATGACCACTTGCTGGTGCTTGAGATCCATGGATTCTCTAGTCCAACGCCTCTGACCAGGCTGTTATTGCCACAAAGTTCCAATGAAGACAGTGAGGTCAGTACCAAGAACCCCACATGCTGGGAATTCTTCCCTTGGAAATAAATGGACTCAGATGTGCCTCATGTAGAACGCCAAAAGGTTACAGATTTTGGTCCCTGGAAAGCTTCCTTCTCGATTACCACCGAGTTCATGAGGAAAAGATGGCATGTTTAGAGTCAGTCCTAAGGGATCCAAACAAACGCTAAGTTGATCTACTTCCAAATACGTCTGGAAAATGAGATGCTGAAGAGATTGAGTCAAATCATCAGGAGATCACAAGCTTCCAGGTCCTCTGGTTTCTAAGTGTTCACAGTGCTTCAACTGGGCATCCATCTGAGGGAGCAGCTAAGGCCGTACCTAAAGCCACATCTTAACGAGCCCCTGAGCGGCTGCGAGGGTGGAGCTCTAGCTTCATCCTTGCGCCTGGCAAAACAGGGCTTCGGAACTCTGACCCCTCTGTGGCGCCCCCTTTCCCTACAATGCTGTTGCCCCCAGAACTATCTCCCTGCCTCTTGCTATAGTTACCTTGTTATGACCACATTTTGAGGACTTAGGCCATTTGGAGTCCTTTGGATTCTCCAACACTTCCCGGAAATCAGACTCCTTGAAACGTTGCAGCGCTCCATGCAGTTCTAATTGTTCTTTTAATACACTTTCTTGATTCTGTATCAGTTTTTTCTGCTTCTCCTGCATGCCTTGGTAGACCATCTGTAGTTCACCCAGGTCTTGTAACTTTGTAAGGAGCTCCTGACTCTGTGAGGCAGAGTGGAAGGAAGAGGGCTAGAACTGTGGTGGTTACACAGCAAGACCTCTGCCTCCTTCCTGCTTGGGACCCTTCCCTTAGGGGGGCTGGCTCTGCACAGCCCATCTGGGACAGGAGGGGAGTCTCTCTTTGGAGACCTGCTAGTTGAGTAGTAACGACCTCATATGTTTGGATGCATTTTGCAGTTTGCAAAGTGCTTTCAAGTGCATTTTCTCCAGACGGACTGAATATCTAAATATAAAATGCTGGACAGATTCCATAGTATAGGATGTATTTTAAGATTTAGAGCCCTAATCAGCTATATTGAACAGTTTTGTTTGAGGAGGTTGGTGAGAAAGTAAGGAGTCGTTGGTTAAGAAGAGAAAAAGTTCCATCCCCACCCTTTTACTTCTCCCAAGTACAGTCACATCTGGGCAGCTCCTCACAGCTAGCAGCAGCCCCTGGCTGTGATTACCTTGTGGAAGAGACCAGATCTGGGGAGCGGGAACGTGAGCCTGTGCAGCTCTTCGTGCAGCTGGCCCTGCGCCTCCTGCATCCTCCTCTGCCTCTCCAGGAGCTCGCACTGCTCCATCTGCAGCTGCGCCATATCCTTCTGGCTGGCCTTGTACCTCTCCTGCAATTCTGTCAGTCTGAAGAGCAGTGCGTCACACTGTGGACGGGGCAGGGCGCGCAGGGGTGCTTACTCTGGGAGGCAGGCTCCCTGGCGTTTCTCTGCCCCGTACGGTCAGCAGAGCACTCCGTGTTCTCTTACCTCTTGTGATTCACCAGGGTCTCCCACCCTGTAGTCATCTTAGACTGATCACCCCAAGCCGCACTGAGCCCATACAGGCCTAGATGCTGAATGCGAACCCCAGCAGGCTGCTCAGGACTGAAGTTTGGCTCTGCTCTAAATTTTGCCTACTAGTTCTTTCTGAGGGCAGTTTTCGAGGGAGGTCATCAGCGCCCCTCCCTTCTCATTTCCCCACCTCCATTTCCTCTGGTAGATACTATTTTCCCACCCTGCAGGGAATTCTAGTTCCTGTTACTCTCCAGTTGTTTCTGTAACTATGCTCCTTACCAATAAGGACTTACTTTCATCCTAATTTTCCCCATTTTTGTTTTCATGATCAGCTTTAAGAATCTTTAGAGAAGTATGAGCTGTTGCTGAATTTGGGTTGAGAGGACTAAATCATCCCATGATTCCAAAAACCCAAATCTTCTAGTATCAAACTAATCTCAGTGTTCTTTTAGGAGAGGAGAAGAGGCTGGCTCTGTATGCCAGCATGCTTCTCCCTTCCCATAGTTTCTTCCACTAGGAGAGAAAGTGATGAGCAAGTTATGGACCCCCTGGACCTCTAAATGGAATGGGAGGGGCGGGGCGGGGGTGGGGAAGTGAGTCTGGCTGTAGAAAGGCAGGTGGACTATTGGGGCAGCCCATGTAACGACCCCAGTTCTGTGTCTTCTGAAGGCCTTTCCCTGGGGATATAGCCTACTGTTGGCTGTGGCAGGAGCTACTGAGTATTCTGGCAGAAGGCGACTAGCTCCACCATCTTTTGGAATCTTGCACCTTTTTTGCATCATGCTTCAACATTTTTCCATTTCCTGTCAGTGGTCAGGAGCTGAGAGTACTCAACAAGGCTAACTAATAATGACTTGCATTTTACACACTATGGAAAAAAGGGTGAGTGAAGAAGGAAGGCCTTATTTATCACTACCAGGATTTTTTTACTAAAAGAAAGTGAGATAAGAGTAGTGTTCTGTTCAACTTAAAGAGGGTAAAATTCAAGTTTAACTACTCTGAAGTCACAGAATAAATCCTGAAAAAGCCTAGGTCCTTCTAATACCCAATTAGCACTCTGGGCACAGACCATGCCTTTTGACGAGAGCACCTACTATCTGCCTCAGAAAACTGGACCTTCTCTTTCTAGTTCTAACAATCATAGTTGTGTATATGGGCCTATGTATATGTTCTTTTCCATGAATGACAAGATATCACTACAGTTCTAACAATAAGGTATAAATGTCTACACAAATGAAATCATGTGTGAAATCTTCAGGTGTTCAGACTGGATCCAGAGGTATTGATTCTACTAAGCTGTGGCTTGGGCTCAAAGTCAAGGTCAAGGCAAAGTTTTAAAGTTAACAGCATGGGGCTCTGCCTGTTTTCTGCCTTTCCACATACATCTGTGATTGCACAGGAAGTCCATCAAGCCTCTTGGTTGGATGACTTCATCTTTTGCCTCTATACCTCCTCTCTCCAAGGCTCAGGAGATCTCACCTCTCTTAATTACAATTACCTTATCAGCACACTTTCCCTTGTCCTCTGGGATGCACTGGGTGGTCTTGAGCTGCTGCAGCTCCTGCCGGCAGAGCAAGAAGTCCTGCTCGAGCTGATCACACATGTGCTTTTTCCGCTCCAGCGCATCCTTGCTGGTCTGGTACAGCCGCTTCATCTCCTGCAGCTGGGCGTGCATCTCTGCATTCTGGGGCAGGGGAGGCAGACCCCGCCATCATCCCAGAAGCCCCCGCGGCTGCACTCTCTCCTCTCAGGCAGGGACTAAAGGGTCCTGTCCTTTCCAGTTCCAATTTCATCCCAGCAGGGACCACCTGAGATGGACCAATCCCTAAGAGGCTCTACACAGAGACCTGGGACTTCCTCTTTTGGAAGGTGGGGAAGGGAAGCGGCCTCCTTTTTACAGCTCTTTCTGATTTAAAATCGAAGGAAGCTGAGCGCATCGTGACCCTTTGAGATCACGTTTCCATGAAGCACTTTTTTATCTCCCTCATCGACAGCTCCTCCACAGAACTCCACCACCCCACTCCTCCTGTGGACTTGTCCTCTCATGGGAGGCTCTGCCGTGCTACGTTCTCCCTCACCTGAAGCTTCTTTTACCTTCTCTCTGCTCTCTTGGAAGGAGGCCACGATGCCCTTGAGGTGCTGCACCTCTGCCTCGTGGCAGCGCAGGCTGTCTTGCAGCTGCTGCTGCACGGCCAGCAGCTCGTCCTTCTCACACATGATGCTCTGGTACTGCAGCTGCAGCTTCTGTAGCTGGCACTGTAACTCCTGCGGTGGAGGGGGCCTTGGGCAGTACCTCTGGGATCCTTAACCCACTCACGCTTCTGCTTGAGTCACTCTCAGACACAGACAGTCTGAGAATCCACTTCTCCCTGCCCTGCACTTACGGGTGTCCTCTCACCTAACAGAGGACTCGAGGGCGGCTGGAGTTCTGTACCTGTGGTGCCGCACAGGTGGCAGCTAGAGCTATTTCAGCACTCAACTCTTATCCCCCTCCCCCCAAACCTCTGGAACCTAAGTGGCCCCTCACCTTGGGGTCGTTGTTACCTTCTCACTCTGGCTTTCTACGACTGTGGGTTTCATATCTTTGAGCTGCTGGAGCTCAGCCTCAAGTTGTAGCTGTACCTTCAAGAGTTCATTCTGCTCATCCTGGCTAGCATCATACTTTTGCTGCAGGGCACAGAGTCTGGTCCTCAGCTCCTCGCCCTGCGGTGGGGAGGATGTGGGAAGAACGGTTACTCTCGGGAATCAGCAGACCCCTCTCCACACCAGAGTGGTTCCTTTCCAGACGCAGACATCTTGAGGCACTCCCACAGGCCTGTGGTTTAGTTTCTTTTCTGTGGCACACACTCGATAACGACTACCATTTCTAGAATGCAATGCTGTGTGATTTCTCCAATTGCTCTCTGGTTGCAGGGCAGGAGTCAGCAGAGCACAGCCTTCCTCTGCGTTCATCCTCCCCGGAAATGGCGACTCCATGTAGGCCCTTCTGCCCTCCCCGATGCCCTTCCCCTGTCAGTGTTTACCTGGGTGACACTGTGGGAAGTCTGAAACCGAAGCACCTCATCCTGTGCACACTTGAGCTCCCTCTGCAGCCGCCTCTGCTCCTCCTCACTGGTCCGGCGATGGTGCTGTAGCTCTTGCAACTCACAACTCAATTTCTTACACTGTGTGGGAAACACAACAGGAAGGAGGATTTATAACAGGTACCATAGGCTCTCTGGGAACAGGCTTGGGCAGAGTATGTCATTCCTTTTACCGGAATATTCAGTAAAAGGCAAGCAAGTGAGACCCTGGAGTCCTATCTCTTGCCACAGCACCTGCCTCCTTTGTCAGCCTCGTGTCTAAGGAGATGCTGCGGCCACAGGCCAGGAGAAGGTGGGAGCGAGGCCGTAAAGGGGCCTGCCTTTCCCTACCTTGTTCTGCATGTCATGCATCTGCTCCTCAGCTCCCAGCAGCTGCTGTCGCAACAAATGCATTTCAGGATCAGGCTCCAGGAAATCCTCTTTTGAAGTCTGAGACTCTGCTGACTTCATACTCCCTAGTGCTTGGGACTCCAGGCATCTTTCTGTTGCTCTTAGTGTCCTGTAATCCAGAACCCCAGAGTCACGTTTGGGAGAGAGCTCTGCCCGGCATCACCTGCCAAGTGTGCTTGGTCCTGATGTCTTCATTTTAGGCAAAAGGAGCCTTCTATAGTGATTCACCTCTCAAACACACCTAGGAGATTATAGAAAAAGTCCCCAGCACCTCAGTCTGCAAAGGCATGTCTGGCTCTGGGAGACCCTAAGAGTACTAATCCAGTCGGGCTCGAGGCTGGGCCTGGAGTCACGCCAGCTCCAATCTGGCGGTAATATACCATCAGACTGAATCATGCCTGGGAGGACAACAAAGGAATTGCTTCTTATCTGCTCTAGGGCAGAGCAAACCAGACCTAATGCCTAGAATGGAAGAAAACTAAATTTTAGAACTCACTCAATTCTAGTCCTGAGACATCTGGGTTGGACCCCAAGACCTACTTCTTGGCAGCATCCGTATCCTTTGGATACCAGGGAAAGGACCGGCTCACCAGGACCGGAGGGAGGCTCATTAGCCTGGCATCTGCCTTCACCAGTTCTACTCAGGGAAAAGCCCAGTCCTAAAGAGCCCCGCCAGCCTCCAGGCTGTACCTCTCACTCTCCAGATCCGCAAGCTGTCCTGTGAGGCTACTGTTGTTCTCTCGGAGGACCTGGTACTCCTCGTTCAGGAAGCGGTAGCGGTCCCGCAGTTGCTGCAACTCTTCTGCAGAGGACAGGCAGAGAGGTGAGATCCCAGGGAGGAAGCAATGACGACCAGCCCACAATTTTCCTGCCTAGAAATCTGGCTGCAGAAAGCTGAAGAGTTTCTTTTTCTAAAGACAGATGAGATACCACATGCAGAGGCTTAGAAGGTAGGGCCCGGAAAGTTCCGCACCGCAGTGAGTCTTTATCCTCTTTCAGTTAGCTGCCCTTCTTTTCAACTTCCCAGAAGATTGCCCTGTGTGCCCATCTTCAAAACCCCAACCAAGGGGTTGGGGAGGGGTGGCAGGGGGAAAAACACCAACCAAGACAGCCTTGAGATTTTTAGGAGCTTGCGAGGGTTTCAGTAAGTTTTTGGTTTACTGAATTTAAAGTTTCCATTCAACTGTTTACAGTTAGTTTCCTCTTACACTTTTAGTACAAAAAGCTGACAGTGTTAACTGCCAGATGTCATACTGCCAGTGCCGGGCTTTCAGAGACAACCCAGGCATCCTTTTACTTCCTTTATTACCACACCAAATCCATCGGCCTGCACATGGCCAAGAATTCTTTCTAATGATCTTTTATCTCTGACAAAAAAGCCCACCCCGACCAAACCTACAAATCCTCCATCCGCAGGCATCAGCAGAGATCTGGTTGAAATGTCCCAGCACATGTCCCTAAGTTCCAGATACCAATACTTTTTAATGCTGTGATAATAGAAACACCCATATCTGTTTTGTTTCTTCATGATTAAGAATTATTTCTCTCAGAATACTGCTGATATTTAGAGAACACTAGCTTGCTCGAATTAGAATACAAGGCCTATCTTACCTGCTTTGAGATTCAACACCCTGAAATTCACTTCTAATGTTCCCTCTTTAGTCCAATCAAAAGTCCTCGGCATACTCCAGATTATCATAGAAGGAAGGAAGGAAACTAATTTTTAATGAAAACCAACCACGTGCTAAGCATTAGACTTGATGAGTCCAGACTCGGGTTCAGTTGTATGTGAGTGCCTTCAATACACTAGGCATTTCATTTAATCCCCCAAATAGTCATATAAGGTTTTCTTTCTTTCTTTCTTTTTAAATAAACTTTTAGTTTTAGAAGAGTTTTAGATTTACAGAAAAGTTGCAAAGATAGTGCAGAATTCCCCGGGAGTGTTCTCACCTAGTTTCCCCGACTGTTAACATCTTCCCATGGGTACATTTGTCGTGACTAAGGAATGAACACTGGTACTTTACTGTTAACTAAATTCTATACTTCATTCAGATTTTTCTACATTTTCCCTAAGGTTCTTTTCCTGTTCCAGAATCCCATGCAGCTATAAAGTTTTATTAATCAATTTTTATAGCTATGGAAACTGAGGTCCAGGGAGATAATAACCAGGCTATTTATCCTGCTAATTAGCAGAGCTGAGATTCTGAACTTGGGTCTGTTTAACTCCAGCCCAAGTGTTCCCACTGTGCTGGCCTCCCTCTCCTAGTACACCAGCCCAAAAGCGCTTCTGAGAGGCCTGCTACAGCTGGGAAAACTTGCAGTTCTTTGATTCCTCGTTGATTGCCTCTGCTTGACCTGGCCTAGTACAGGGCCTCGCATTATACCTAGATCATAAATCTAGCCTCAGAATAAAGGCAAACGCTCGGATGTCATGAAACCTAGCAGCTAGCTGGGAGACTGAGCAGAGCTCTAAGCTTTTGAGGACTCACGTATTACTGGAAATAACCTCTGTTCCTCTCCAGTTGTCTTGTGCTCTGGTTTGCTGCCCCCTAAAGCTTCTACTTGGGGAGGACTAAAGGAGGCTAAAAATTAGCATTGTGGGCATTCTGGGACTTGGGAGCAGGACTGGGAACCCCTCACCCCAACCCACACAGAAAGTGACCCAAGCAAAGCACCATGATGCCAGGGCAGTGGGAAGCTTTCCAAGGTGACAGGCCCCTATACGCCCACCCCAGAAATGGAAACTTTTTCAGGAAGGGCTTTAGCACAGGCAAATCAACAAATGCCCAATGGCTCTCTGAGGAAGAATTCTCAGGGTACAGCTCCATGGTGCTATTTCTTACACCATTACAACTGGTTATATGACATCAAGTTTTTCTCTCTTACAGTCTTGAATCCAACATGGAAGCTTTTTCTAGAGGCTCCCAATTCATGATCTAAGCCCACCTTCCACCATCTTCTTGCGTACTATTTCCCTCTGCTTGATTTGACTGACAGACCAGGAGGAGGGCTGGCTTTCTCATACCTTGCATCTCAGAGAAATCTGAGAGACTTAAACTATTGGATACGTCAGAGTTCTTCATTTCTATTTCTGCACGGAGGGAGGTGATCTCCATCTCATACTCTCCTCGGATGCGCTCCATGTCCTCGAGTTCATTCTGCATCCGGCAGAGATCCTCCTGCAGGGAGGCTATGTCACTCTCATGTTCAGTCGCAGAGTCCTCCGCTGCTTGCCGCAGATTCTGGATCTCAGCCTGGGCCAAATGCAACTCCTGTTCTATTTCCTGAAGTTCACTTTCTTTTTCATGCTCTAACAGGGAAATCTCCTCCCGTAGAGACCGCAGCTCACCTGCAAAGCCCAAAGACGATCTTGAGATGATCAGGAGGACAAGAGAACTAATCTACCATATTCTAGAAGCACAAAGTTAAAGGCAGACTTATTTCTTATCTGGAAACTCCCAACAACCTGCTCTCTACCCCATCAGAGAAGTATAGCTTCACCTGATATGGAATAAAGGGAATACCTAAGAAGAGAACAGAGTGAATCTATGTAGCAAGGTGCAGTAGAAAAGTAGATCTTGAGGTTTGGCATCAAAAACAAATTAGGCTCCTCCAAACAAAAAGTATTAAGTGCTTCTATGAAATCGCCTGACAGTTAAAGACCAAACCTAATTTACAGCATTTTACTGATGCCCTGAGTCTTTCCAAAAAGCCCCTTACTAAAAAAATTTACACAGACTATTCTCATCTATTCAGTCTGGGAGCTTAGAACTCACAGAGCCTCAGATCTCCCATGAACTGCCTGTGTAAGTACTGGTCCCAAAACAATGTGTATTTAGAGCTCACAGCTGAAATTCAAATATAGGTTCATCTCATGAGAAGCAAACATGGGAAAATAACCTAGATGCCAATCAATAAGGGATAGCTTAAACTGAAGAAGGTAAAATAGAATGCTGGCAGCCATTTAAAAGAAACTGGCAGATCCATAGAGAAGACATGAGAAAGTTTCCATAATATACTAACTAGGAAGAAAAATGAGCTGTAAAATACATGGTATTATCTTATTTTTGCAAAAAATATTCATATGTATAATATATAACACAAATATACAAAGACATAGAAAAAGATCTGGAAAGATATATGTCCTAAACCATACAGCACAGCTGCTTCCGAGGAATGAGACAGCATGTGAGAGGGGCTTTTACTCTCCACGTCATATATATCAGTGCTGTCTGACATTTCACAACAAGCCTGTATTTTATAATAGGTTTTAATTTACAAAAGAAACGTGTCAGAGCTCTCAGTATCCGTGGAGCATCTCAAGGTTTCTGGACAGACGTACCCATCCAGGATCAGGAGACTAAAAGTGGAGCGAGAGTAAAAGGCACTGCCACCAACAGAGAATTCAAAATTTGGGAGTCAGGATTGGATTGGGAGGGTCAGGACCTTCCCACAAACTCTTTGCAAGGCACACTGTCCCCATCCCTTGCCCCCAACTCCTGTTCATTCTACTCACCCTTCAGATTTCAACTTTCCCTAGCCTCACCCCCAACCTCCTCAAAAAATTAAGCAAAGCCCTCCATTAAATGCTCTCATAGCCCCTTGTACTTTTTACAGTGTGTGTGTGTACATAAAACGTTGGTCTCCACTTGTAAGCTTCATGAAGACAGGAAACATGTCTGTTTTTCTCACCATTACAGGTTCAGGATCTGCCAGAGAACCCAGCATAATGCACTCAATAAATATTTGCTGTATTCATGCATAAATGAGGCAGGGATACATCTAGTCCACACACTTTTACTGAGGACCACGGGTACAGAATTACATGTTCGGGGTGGGAGGGAGACTCAAGAGGGAGGAGATATGGGGATATATGTATATGTATAGCTGATTCACTTTGTTATACATCAGAAAGTAACACACCACTGTAAAGCAATTATACTCCAATAAAGATGTTAAAAAAAAAAGAATTACATGTTTGGGTATTTTTTTAAAAACTAGAACAGAACATGGAGGTTTGAGAATAAAAATTTGGACACACTGCAGACATAAATGCTGAGCGGACCAGGTGTCTCGGAGGCGAGGGTACGGGGTGGGAGTGGCACGGGGGTAGGTCTCCTGCCAACCTTACACGGGCGGCTCCAGCCACATCTTTGCCAGTCTCTCCTTCTCTACAACCATCCTAGCTGTCTCCTCTCTTCAGTCTATTTGACAAGTATTAATTGATCACCCCTGTGCCAAGTCCAAACATCTCCACTTAGATTCTCTGACTTCCTTCCTGTTTGAAGGAAACAAAGCCCTTGCTGTTTCCACTACTGAACGGACACACAAGTCAACCGGCCATTAGGATAAAGGCCTGGGTGGGTTTTCTGTTGGAGGGCTGACCAACCTCTACTTCCCCACTTTGCCCTCAATGTTCGGGTTCAAAACTCCCTTAGGTTCTCCTCTGGGGTCTAGCCCTAAAAAATGACATTCTCAGATGCACTGGGGAACGGAGAAAGGTCGCGCTCTGCCTCAGAAAGCTCTTAACTAGAAACACAGAGGGGCGGAGGGGTGGGGCTTGCAGACAGGCCCCAGGGAGGGTCTTATCGGGAAGATGGACGGGGCGGGCCGGCTGGGAGGTGGAAGGGCCTGACCAGGGTTCTGAAGAGCTGGCGCCGGTTGACAGTGAAACTGGGGCCGTCAGGGCGAGGCCGAAGACCCGGGGAGGGGGACACAGTGAAGTCAGTTCTCACTCACTGGTTATGGCCTCCATCTCGCCGGAATCTCCCTCCTACCCCGCAAGTGGTCTCTCTGGGGGGGCCTCCCGCCGCCAGCCGGTCCCAGCCCCCAAGGGGCTGCGGCGGCCGGAACGGCCTCTCAACACCAGCTACCTCTGAGGCCGCGCGCGCCTCCTCTTGGCGGAAACGGGCAACGCACGTGCGCAAGGACTCCGTTTGCTCCAGCGAGGTGGGGTTTGGGCGCCTTCACCAGACCCGCAGCCCCACCCCCATCCCCGCGCTCAGATGAGATCCAATGCTCTACTGGATCCTTTCCTCCATCAGATCAACATGATCTACTGTGACCCATCCCCCCAAAACCCAAACACCAGAAGCTCTCCCTTGACTTCATTTCCCTTATTTCTCTGCTTCTCTTCAAGACATGTCTGCGGGAATTATGGGTACTCACCTTCTCCATTTCACCTCCCCTTTCCTCTTCGATCCCGATACAATCAGGCTGCTATCTTCACTGAAATGTCTCAGAGCCCTCCATCTCGCCAAATCCAATGGCCATCTTACTTGACTTAGCAACTTCTGACACCACTGATCACTGTCTCCTTGAAGCACTTTCTGCTCTTGGCTTCCAGGTCATCAGATGCCTCAGTAGTTCCTCCTACCTCAGTCTCTTGTTCATTTCTCCTCCTCTACTGGACTTTTAAATTCTAGAGTAGCCCTGGGACTAGACCCTTTTCTCTCCTCTTTCTATATCTCTCCATGTGATTTCATGGTGATCTCCCTTGGATTCAAATGTCATCTATATGCCAATGACTCCCAGATTTATATCTCCAGTCCTGATTTCTTCCCTGGTTCTAGATTCATATACCCAGCTGCTTCCTTAATATATTTACTTAGATGTCAATAGCCATTCCAAACTCAACATGTAGAAAACGTGTCTTAAATGGTTCCTCTAGCCCCAAAATTTGTTCCTTGTCAAGCTGTCCTCATTCCAATAAATGACACCACCATCTATTCAGTTTCTCAAGGTAAAGTCATCTTTCATGTCTCTCTTATCCCCCAATCCAATTCAGCAAGTCCTGAGAACTCCAACTTCAAATGACATTCTCAATCATCTCCATTTCTACAGCACTGATCCCTCTAATCCAACCAATCACCATCTCTTGACTATTGCAGTTATTTGCTGACCAGATTCACTGTTTTGACTCCTTTCTCTTCATCCAATTTCCATACAGTAGCTGAAGTGCTCTTTTAAAAAAGTAAAGTGGGGACTGCCCTGGTGGCACAGCGGTTAAGAATCTGCCTGCCAAGGCAGGGGACACGGGTCCGAGCCCTGGTTCGGGAAGATCCCACATGCCGGGGAGCGACTAAGCCCGTGCGCCACAACTATTGAGGCTGCGCTCTAGAGCCTGCGAGCCACAACTACTGAAGCCCGTGTGCCACAACTACTGAAGCCCACGCACCTAGAGCCCATGCTCCGCAACAAGAGAAGTCACCGCGATGAGAAGCCCACACACCGCAACGAAGAGTAGCCCCTGCTTGCCACCAGCCCGCGCGCAGCAATGAAGACCCAATGCAGCCAAAATAAATAAATAAATAAATAAATAAATTTATTTTAAAAATAAATTAAAAAAAAAAATTAGCCAGCCTCCAGCCCTGGCTAATACCCTCCCATGTTTTTCCACTATACTTAGAATAAAAGTCAAACCTCTCAGCTGACCTATAAGGCCCTCTGTAATCTGAACTCTGCCTGCTTCTCAGAACTCTCTCTTACCCAAGTCCTCCACATGCATTTTGCTCCAGCCACAACAGCCTTTGTTCTGTCCCTCAAACACATGAAACTCATTCCTGCCTCTGACCTTCTGCAGTTGCTGGTTCATCTGCCTGGTGTGCACGTCCCTCAGATCTTCCTCATTATTCAGGTCTTAGCTCAAATGTCCTCTTCTCAGAGGACTTTTATGACTACCATATAAAAAATAAACTGGGCTTCCCTAGTGGCACAGTGGTTGAGAGTCCGCCTGCCGATGCAGGGGACACGGATTCGTGCCCCGGTCTGGGAAGATCCCACATGCCGCGGAGCGGCTGGGCCCGTGAGCCAGGGCCGCTGAGCCTGCGCATCCGGAGCCTGTGCTCCGCAACGGGAGAGGCCACCACAGTGAGAGGCCCGTGTACCGCAAAAATAAAATAAAATAAAATAAACTTCCATCTTACCCCATCTCTCCACATCATATTGTTATATTTTCTTCATAGCATTTATTGCCACCTGAACTGGTGGTGTTTGTCTATTTTCTGCCTCTCCCCATTAGAATGTACTCTTCATTAGGGGAGGGATCTGGTCTATCTCGTTCACAGCAGTTCCTCCAAGTATACAGGCACTCAATAAATGGTTGACAAAACATTTAAATTAGCCCTATTTTACAGTTAAGGAACTGAGTCTCAGAGAGATAAAAGTGACTTGCCCAAGATCACAAAGCTTGTTATGTGGCAGAGCTGGGCTCAAGAATCTAGGTGACCTGAGACCAATGCTCACACTCTTTTCCCTGAGCAACATAGCTCCTGCAGTTTCTCTCCTTCCCCTCCCCTCCCACCTCAGCCTGTTTATTGTCTACTTTTCCTGCATCTACCTTTGCTTACATCTTCTTTCCTTTCTCTTTCCCTCCTCCTCTCCCACCTTGGCTTGCTCCTCTCCAGGCCTGCTTGCCGGCCTCCCTTTTTTTTCCATTTATACTTCTCTTTTGGCTTGATCTCAGTTCTCCCTGGAGAGTCCCTGCAGTTTTCTAGGACAGCTCCCAGGAACCTTCCAAAAGCCCACAGATGTAACAAAACCTGCCTCTTTATTTGGCGGCGCAGTGGAATGTGGGACGACTGCCTTGCTGCTTCCCAGACAAAGGCACGTGGGTGTTAGAAGAAAGGGCTTTTGGGGCCACCAGCTCGGTGTTAGGGAGCAAAAGAAGCATTCTCATCTGCCTCCCTTAAAAGATGCAGAGAGTCCCCTCCAGTCACTTCTCATTGGCTCACTGATCTTCCCATGATGCCCTTGGAGGGACAGGCAAAAGCAATCTGGTTTGGAATTCAACCTTGACTACCTACCTGTGGCACTGACCAGGAGAACAAAGAGAAAAAGGGATGCAGGTGTGAGGGGGAGAGACTGAGGAGAGAAAAAGGAGAGAGCCCCGGAAAGGGGGTGAAATGGGAGGGCAAGAAAGGGAAGGAGGGGGAACAGAAGAGCCAGTTAGAGGTGCAAAAAGAAAGGAAATTAGGTAAAGAGGAGGATGGAGAGGCAAGGAGAACAGGGCAAGAATAGTAGAAGAAAATGAGGAGAAAGTACTGCATTCGGTTCCGATGGTCTGCTATGTCTGCTATGCCTCAGCCAAACCCTCAAGAAAAAAGTACTTGGATGACCACCTGCCCTCCAGTCCAAGTGCTAGGACTTACCTTGGAGCTGCTGAATCTGCTTGGTGAACACCTCTGCCTGCTGGGCGCTGGCCAGCCGCTCATCCTCCAGGAGCCCTGCAGTGACGGGGAAGCTGGCATCAGGCCTGGGATCCAGTGCCTTTGGGCCCAGGCCCTCCGGCCCCATCACAGGCACTCACCCTGCAGCTCCAGCGAGTCGTCCTCATGCTGCCCTGCCAGTTCCCGGGTCTCCTCCAGCTCTGCCACCAGCTGCAGCACCTGAGCCCTCAGCTCCTCCAGCTCCGTCTCCGTGAGGCTCAGGCCCCGGTGCTTGCCAACCGACAGGGAGCCCACGCTGCCACCTTTCTGCACTTGATCATCCTCTTCTTCCACCTCTTCTTCCTCTTCTTCCTCCTCCTCTTCCTCCTCGTAGAGAGCTGGGAGTAACACTTCCCCTAGGAGAGACCCACCCCCCGCCACCAGCGAGTAAGAGCCAACTTCCTTTCCACAGGCCTTAGAGGGCCCTCCAACTCACCGTCCCAGGGCAGAGATGGTATAATAGTGCCACCTGGTGTCCCCCAAAGAGCCCCTGGGCAGGACATGCATGCATGAGGAGGCTTCAAGTGTGAGAGTCAAATTTGGAGGTAGCCCATCCCCCTCCCGGGCCCTTTCTGGACCAATGTTGCCCCTGGTGGCCTCCAAGTACTGCCTTCAGGCAGACTGGGCAGCCAGGTGCTGGCTCAGCTATGTGAAGCTGGCACAAGGATACCTGCTTCTTCCATCCTCGTCTCTGGGTAGCAGGACAAGTAGTCAAGAAAAATTCAGACACTGGGTGTATCTTTAAGCCAAATAGGGCAAGAATTATAGTTTGGGGGTTTGTACAAAGTTTACAAATGGTCCGGGTGGCTTGTGAGAAATTAGCCTTTCCATAATAAGTAAGGGTTGCCTGTCAGCAGGTAGAGAAAGAGAACATCTGAATGAAATGACTCTAAATGTTTTATTGGACAAACACTGGGGCCCTTTCAAATATATTCTATCGAATAGTCTTTTTGGAATTTTCTACCAGGTCCACTTTTCTTTTCCCTGCTGAGTGTCAGGAGATCTCCCTGCTGACCACAAGGCAGTTTTAAGGGGGAAGTCATAGGTTGTACTTGGGTGCAAAAGATAGCCTGACATTTTAACGCGTTAAGAAACTGGGGTGTGCGAGTCCTCAGCCTCTGGCTGGCGAGCACGCCCTCCTTTGCTGCAATGCAGTTCCTCTAAATAGAAAATCTTATCTGGATGGCAATAGTTTGCTTTGTTTTAAAATTTGGAATCTCTGATCTTTGTCCAATAACCACAGCCTAAGGTTCATCTGGGACCCCTTGCATCATCTGTCCCCCTTGGGGGAGCAGGATCGTCCATATTGAGTGTGCATAGGGACCCTTCACAGGAGTCCTGGAAACAGGACCAGCATCCTTCCAGGCTCCTTGTGTTGGTGGGGATACATGTGTGTTGGGAGGTTGGTTGGCCTTCTCACCAGCCCTGCTCCCAGGCTCCCTCTTTCAGGCGGTAAGATAGCCTAGAGAACCAAAGCCACAAGGCTTCCATTTGAAATTAGTGGTGGTGGCACCAGAAAGACAATTCACATGCTCACTTCCCTGCTTTTCAAAATAAGAGACAGCTTGGGATCTGGGTCTGGAGGCAGTGAGAACAAACCCCCTGCTGACAGGCTGCTTCAAAGCTCTGTCCAACAAGGCCTCTTTCTCTGTCTGGCAGCTCCCCTGGGACACACAACCTGGTTACCTGGTGATTAGGACTCCAAAGGGATGTACCCTGAACTTCCCTCAAGCCCTGAGCCCTGAGGAGGGGTGGAGGGGGCTGAGCTGAACTGGGGGGAAAGGTTGTGTCCTGGCTCAGAGTTTTGGGGGTCAGAGGGAGGAAGGAGAAGTGAAGGGAAATTGGGTGAGGGGGATGGAAAGAAAGCTTTTTGGGAAAACTCACCCTCCATAGCTTGCATCCCCCGCCGTTCCAGGGACCCCCAGCGTTGGCCTTTCTTCCTCTCACAACCCTCTGATACCTCGTAGGAGCCTGAAGTGGTCACTGTGGGTCCTGTGAGAAGAAAGAGAGGAGGGATTGTGGGATGGTAGGGGTGGCTGGGGAGCAGCTGGCGGGGGGAAGGGACACACCTTCTAGCCCTTTGGAGCCCTGGGTTTTTCATCCCGGTGGAAGTACTTGGCTCACTCTGCCAAGAGCTGCAATTCTCCTCCCCAGGCCGCCCCTCACGCTGGGTCTACGGGGACACCGCCCTGCACTGCCCAATGTCTCCTGCACCCCCGTTCCAGGCTCCTCTCCCTTGCACAGGCATAAAGGGTGTGTGTCTCTTTAGCCCAGAGGGGACAGGGGGGAGATGGGCAGGGATGGCAGAGGGCGCGACCCAGTACAGAAGAGGCTGAAAGGCTGAGGTGGAAGGGGAAGGGGTTGATGGCGGGCAGGGGTCGTGTGGGAAGGGGCTCTGCACCGGAGCCGCTCCCCTCCCCTACATTCTCTCCCTGGACTTCGTCCACCCCACCCCCGCCCCGCGCTCAGAATAGTTGGGGGTCCGAGCGGGTGCAGGGTTTGGAGCCCCCAGGGCTGGAAGCACCGTTGGTCTGGAGAGACGAGACTGAGAGGGCTCAGGGGAGAGACTGCCAGGGAGGATGCGGCCGGTGTGAGGAAGACCCAGCACGGAAAGATGGAGACCGGGCCTGGGTGGGAGGCGGGATGGAGGGAGGAAGACTTAGGACGTAAAGGTGGGGAGCAGCGGAGGGCGGAGAGGACGTGGGGGTCTGGAGGGAGGAGAGATGGAGAAGAGGAAGGAGCGGCGATGGAGTGGTGAGGGAGGGGCGCTCTGACCTGGGCCCGGGCAGCTCCAACCCGCGGCGCCCGCGCCGGCCCCGGCGCCCGCGTCCATGGCCGCTCGCGCCGCCGCCGCTGCCCGGAGCAGACGCCGCCGCCGCCGCTGCCGCCGCCGCCGCGAAGCCGGAGACCGGAGCCGGATGCTCAGGGGAAGGGAGGGCGGGCCGGCCGAGGGGGCGGGGCCTGGCTGGGCCACCTGACACCTCCCCCGCCGCCGTCCGGAAGTCAGCCCACCACCGGAGCTCCCGGACCCCGTGCCGGCGGGAGGGTACCGGGAGGCCGAGCGAGCGTGTCCTCGGACACGCCCCAAGGCCCGCGCCGAGGGAGCGACCAGATGCCCTGGTTTGGCAGTGGGTCCTGCTGGCAGTTGGCTGAGCTGGGAGACCGCTCTGCGCCATGTGTCAGGGTCCCGTCCTGCTCGGTGATGGGGTAGGAAAACCACAAGGATGGACAAATCCTCCCGGCCTGTTTTCTCCAAAAGCACGGATGCTTACACTCCCCTCGCTTCCTACGGAGCAGGTCGGAGCTGCCGCCCAGCTCGGCAGTAAGCGCGGACCCCCGGCCGCCGGCCCCAGCCTCAGAGCTGCGTGAGGGCAGGAGGAGGGAAACCAAGGCCAGGATACTCGAACCTCGGGGCCCTGATCCCTCTGCTGTCCCCGCGCCTCCACCAAGCCAGAAGCAGGGACCCTCTTAAGAGGGACCGCTCCGTGGCCCTACGCAGTCCTTAGTGTCCGAAGAGCGCTTTTCTCCACCGCCTGCCTTCCCACCTGGCTCCATGCCCGCGGGGCTGCGAGCCATGACCCTCACTCAACCTAGCCCCTGTAGCCAGCTCACAGTGGGCACTGCTGATTTTCACTCTCATGGAAGGGAGATGTGAAAGCTCAGAGGGCTTATTTCACTTACTTCATCATTCATTCAAGGAACGTCTACTGTATGCCAGATCTTGACGAAGCAATTGTTCTCACATCTATGCAGGTCTCAGCCAGGAAGAAAAAAAAAAAAGGGTACACTTGGGAACCGGGGCGCCCCAGCACATCCAGAAAAGCATTGGGAGGTTCCTAAGCCAGGGGCACACACCAATCCCTTCTCTTGTGCATCCACGCACAAGGTCATTGGGCATATATTGTCAGTGTCATCCCCCCAGGCTCCCAGGTTCACAAGACCTCTATATTCCTCAGAAGGGAGCCCTTCTTTGCCTGGACATCCCCTACTTATCCTTCAGCACTCAGTGGGGAGTCATCTCTAAGCAGCTGTTCCTGACGCCCCACTCTAACCCCATTATATGCCCCTGCTGTGCTCTGCCCCGTCCTTCTTCCCTCTAGGGCAGCGCCAGTCACTCTGGGTTGTCAAGGTCAGGTTTTTAATTTTCTGTCTGGCCAGTTTCTTGAAGACTGGGAAGTTATCTTAGTCATTTTTTGTATCTCCAGCATCTGACAAAGTCCTTTACACGTAGAATAAATGAGTAAACGTAAATCTCCCAACAGCACAGTCAATGCTCTGCTTGTTTTAACATATGATCTCACACTTAAGGAGTTCAATGTTGCCTATTAACCATAATGTTGCCTCTAAGCCTCTCTCTGTGTCTCTCTGTCTCTCTCTCCTCACCTTTCTTCTTCCCTCTCATACCCCCAGCCTCGTATGTGCTCTGAGAGATGGTGAGCACAGATCAAGAAGTTTCGTTTGCTCCCCAGAGGACAGGTCTCCACTCCAGACCCTGTGGTTAAGGTGATCGAGTTGTGGGGAAAGACTGTGGAGCAAGCCCACCCAGACAGACCCTTTCCAGAGGGTCCGCTGCCGATTTCAGGCCTGTCCAGACTTGGGGAGCAGTGCAACTGTCAGGGATGATGGAAAGGGTTTGGTGTTAGGAGGGTGGAGGGCACAGGGCTCCTGGGAATGACAGAGTCTAATGCTGGAAGCAGAGTGGCTGTTTGTTCTGCCCCAGCACAGCTCCTTCTGGTCCTGACTGAACCAGCAGGGTCAGATAGCAGACCTTGACTGCTGACCTCTTGGCTAATGGAGGGAAGGACAGGGGAGGAAGTTGTCAACTGTAACATCCAGGGGTCCAAGCTCTCCTCAGGGAGCTCTCATCCAGAGTATTAGGACTAATCTCTCCCTGGCTCCAGGGGTGCAGGTCACGATTCACCCTTGATTTGAGGAGCATTCAGAGGAGATCTGAACCAGTCTATTCTCAGGACCCAAATATGAGTAAAACCCAGACCAGTACTGGGTTGAGGGTGAGAATGAAGATAGGAGGCTGGAGGAAAGGGCTTAGCAGGTATGGGGGGGGGAAGTGGACTGTGGGCTAGGAGTGGTGGGGATGCCAGCCAGGTGATCAGTTTAGGGGGATAATCTGAATTAATCCTTGTAATCCATGGACCCAGGATTCAGCCTCCCTCCTAATCCCATCCCAGCAGATCATCCTCTCTGAGGACTGATGCAGCCATTTATCCACCTTTACCCTTATTTCTAAATGCCTAGATTCTTTCATTAAAAAGAAAAAAAAAGTGAATCTTCTAAAGATGCAAAAAGTACAGCATATTATACACATTCTTCTGCAAACTTTCTTTTTTCCTTAACATGTTTTTCTTTTTACATTTATTCATGCTGTTTCATATAGCTCTAGTTCATGAATTTTAACTGCTGAATTTTGTTCCATTGTTTGAATATACCACAATTGATTTATCCATGCTTCTGCTAATGAACATTTGGGAAATTTCCAATATTCCATATTGTAAACAATGCTGTGATGGACAGTGCTGTGCATGCCTCCTTGGCATATATGTAAGCACATCTCTAAAGTAGATACCTAGAAGTAGAATTTCTGGGTCATAGAATATGTGCACCTTAAACTTTACTAGGTATTGCCAAATTGCTCTATAAAGCAGCTGAACTGATTTTTACTCCACTAACAGTGGCTGTCAATGCTTTTTTATTTTATTTTTTTTTAATTAAAAAAATTTTTTTAAGATTTTTTTTATGTGGACCATTTTTAAAGTCTTTATTGAATTTGTTACAATATTGCTTCTGTTTTGGTTTTTGGGCCGCGAGGCATATGGAATCGTAGCTCCCTGACCAGGGACCAAACCCGCACCCCCTGTATTGGAAGGCGATGTCTTAACCACTGGACCGCCAGGGAAGTCCCTCAATGCTTTTTTAGATTCACAAACATATTTATAAATTTCTTTGCTCACCATTCCTTCTTGCATTTCATTCCTTCCTTCTTATTTCGGTTTCCTTCTTATGAAATATATCCTTTGGTAGCATTTCAGTGAAAGTCTTTGAGTGGTAAACATTCTCAGTCTTTGTCTTAAAAGGTCTTTATTTCACAACACTTAAATGGAAATTTAGTGGGCATAAAATTTTAGGTTGACAATTCTTTTAGACTTTTGAAGATATTCTATTTTTTTCTGTAATCTTTTGCTGCTAATAAGAAGTCAGCTGCCAATATAATTGTCTCTCTAGGCAAACAAGTTTTTAAATTTTTTAAATTTTTTGTTGCTTTTAAGAGTTTTCTTTTTCTCTTCAGTATTCTCCAGTTTCACCACAATGTGTTTATAAGCTCAGTTCTCAATCTGAGGACTGTGTCTTTCTTTTATTTTGGAAGATTATCAATCATTATCTCTTGGAATATTATTGGGTTGGCCAAAAATTTCAAACGAACTTTTTGGCCAACCCATACATTTCCCTCATTCTCTCTGTTTCAGGAAACAATATATATATTCAGTGTGACAGTGTAATAGGCATATTCTTTTCCTCATGTCTTTTAACTATTCTTTCATATTTTCTATCTCATTACTTTCCCCTTTCCCCCCATATTTTGAACAATTTTATCAGCTCTATCTTCCACTTCACTAATTCTCTTTCCAGCTGGGTCTAGTCTACTGTTTAATGTCTTGAGTCTTCAATGGTATGTCTTCCATTTCCTAATTTTTTTTCCCTCAATGAGCTGCTTTTTTTTTTCATAGTGCAATATTTTCATTATGGTTTACTTTTTTGTCTTTAATCTTTAACACTTTTAAGAATACTTATTACACAGTGCTTGTCATGTTGTTCTATTATGCACAGTTCTTGGAGTGTTAATTGTCCTGTTTGTTGTGTCTGCTGAGTCTTCCTTAGGTGGATTGCTTTCTTGTCTAGTTTATAAGATTTTTATTGTGAGTTCTTCTTCAGTAGGTGTTTTTTTTAAAATTAATTAATTAATTAATTAATTTTTGGCTATGTTGGGTCTTCGTTTCTGTGTGAGGGCTTTCTCTAGTTGTGGCAAGCAGGGGCCACTCTTCATCACGGTGCGCAGGCCTCTCACTATCGCGGCTTCTCTTGTTGCAGAGCACAGGCTCCAGACACGCAGGCTCAGTAGTTGTGGCTCCCGGGCTTAGTTGCTCCGCAGCATATGGGATCTTCCCAGAACAGGGCTAGAACCCATATCCCCTGCATTAGCAGGCAGATTCTCAACCACTGCACCACCAGGGAAGCCCCAGTAGGCGTTTTTGATTTGTCACTTTTTAGTGAGACTCTCATATACCTTGGGGTATGAAAACAGTCTTGGAGAGCTCTTTCTTGCTTCTGTGAGGCTGTGTGGTATTCCTAGGGATTTCAAGTTGTCCTAAACCAGGTTTATATTTAATTTCTCTGCTTAAGGATTCAGCATCATGCAAATAACATAAATCCAGATGCAACACAAGCATTTTCTCAGGTTCAGACTTCAATATCTCAGGGTTGACTTGGATTTCTAACCCTTTTCTCTGCTTCGTTGAACTGGTGTGTGCCATTTTAGTTTTCTTTCCATGGATAAGGTAGATCTTTGATATTCTGAGCTTTATGCAGGGGGTTCAGTCCCAGCTCTTTGTCGCTGGTGGGCTGAGGGCACATAGCCTATAACTGAAAGCATTAGAACACATCTCCATGTCCCTGGTATATGTTTGTGATCTGTGTCTGAAATGAACCATGGGCTACTGTGATAGTCCCTCCTCCTTCTCCTCCTCCTCCTTTGTTTAGTTTTATATTCTTTCTTTAATTCTGTTATCTATCTGGGAATTTCCCTTTTTTTTTTTTTTTTTTTTTTTTTGCGATATGCGGGCCTCTCACTGTTGTGGCCTCTCCCGCTGCGGAGCACAGGCTCCGGACGCGCAGGCCCAGCGGCCATGGCTCACGGGCCCAGCCGCTCCACGGCATGTGGGATCTTCCCGGACCGGGGCACGAACCCGTGTCCCCTGCATCGGCAGGCAGACTCCCAACCACTGCGCCACCAGGGAAGCCCGGGAATTTCCCTTTTTAAACCAATTTTGCAATTGTTCATATGTTAGTTTTTAAATTGTTTTATGTAGTATTTCTGTGTGTGTTTTACGGGACACTGGGTGAAGAGAAACTACATTAGTTCAGTCTGTCATGTTGTCAGAATTTCCTTTCCAGATTCTCTTTATCTTTAGTAGTATTCCTAACAATCCCTATGTCTGTAAGGTGTGTTATAGTTTGCAAAGTGTTTTCACATACAGTTTCTGATTTCATCCTCTCAACTTTAAGAAATGAATATTATTGTTCCCATTTTACCAAGAGGAAAGCTGAGACTCCGAATTGTGATTTTATGCCTAGCTTTTGGACTTTGAAGCCAATGCATTTCATAGCTTGGGTTTTACATGGAGAGTTTGCCTCTTCTTGACCTCCAGCTCGGGCCCTGATTGTTCTGACCACCCGCTCTCTATCTGAGGCTCTCTGAGAGGCTTTCTGCCTAACACGAGGGAACCCTTTGGCTCCACCTTCTCAGGTTCAGCTCCTGGAGCTATGCCAATCCCCTTCTGCTCGGCTTAGCCTCAGCGGAAATAATGGGTATATACAGGCCATGGCTAATGGGGAGACTGACTGGCAGCTTGTCTTCAGGGTCCTTTATTCACTCACCACTGGGTCATCTCTGCTTCAACTTGAGAAAGGGCAGGCAACGTATACTTGTGTGGCGGGGAAAGGGGAACAGAAAAAAAGAAAAATCCAGCAAAAGTAGGACTCATCTGGGATTTAAACCCGGGACCTCGTGCACCCTAAGTGAGAATCATAGCCCTAGACCAAAGAGCCACTGAGGGTTACTCTTTGCCAGCTGTGTCTTCTTTGCTACATCAGTAGTAGCCGCAGTTTGTGGTTCCTAGAAGGGCCTCTCTCCTCCGTCCAGGCTGGCTCCCAGCCCAGGTCGGCTGCACTCCAGCAGGCCTTGCCCCTCGGCTCTCTCCACTGCTCCCTGGCCCACTGTGGAGCCACACGGTGATTAGGCAAGGTCCCATCTTCCCCGTGACCATCCAGTTCTCCCTCAGGGCTGCCAAGCGGAGTTCGTGGGGTGCTGCTGGGGAAGGGCAGGGAGGGAGCCAGTCTCCAGCCAGCCCCCCTTCCGGGAACCCCAGGGCTGAGGGGGCCTGCCTGGCATCTCCTGCACCCATGAAGAAGCACTCTTCTTTCTTACCTCATGATCAGACCAACAGAAAAAATCCTCCAAACTCATCTGCCTCCTAGGTGGGGACTAAGAAGTCTGTCCCAGGTCACCCTTGACTAGGTGATATTTGCTAAATTACTCAGTTTCTTCATCTGTCAGGTGGGGAAGTCACACCTGCCCTGTCTGCCTTACAGGGTAATTTGAGGATCAGGTGAGAAAACGTATGTGAAAGCACTCTGCAAACAGTAAAGTGCTGTACAAAGGAAAGGGGTTATTATGATGGCAACATGAGGGCAAGGAGAAAATACATGAGCGGAAAGCTGCCACTTAATGCTTACCGTGGGCTGAGCAGTGTGATCTGTGCTTTACAGATCTTACTTAACCTCGTAACAGCCTTGCGAGATAGCTGTCACCCCACTGTAAGAAAAAGAAACGTGCCCAAATTCGACTTATACGAAGCACATTTATCTGAATCCAAAGCGTGTTTTAAATGCGATACACACTGCTATCCAGACTTTCTAGAAAACCAGAGATGGGAATACATCCTGTAAATACCCACACTTCCTCCCTCACCCCAGCCTGCCCTGTTCATCCCACCCAGGAAAGCTTCAGGGAAGAGCCTGCCGATCGGCTAAGGGTGGCCTGGGTGGGGTTCTTCAGGCTGGGATTCCCCAAATGAGAGTGAGGGGAGAGGTCACACATCAGAAACTGGGGCCTTGTAGGAGACCCAGTAGGCTCTGTCTGGCTCTCTCTTTTGTGCTGCCACTGTACCACATCCATCACACCTCCAGGACCCTTGTTTGACCCCCTAGAGGGGGGTTCCCTCTAGGAGGCTGGGAGCTTCTGGGGGGACAGAGATCTGTCTTATTGATCTTTGGATCCAGCCTCGTGTCTGGCACTTGGCAATCCTGCTGACGAAACAAACAACTCCCAAGCATTTCTGTGTACCTGGCCTTAGGTAAGCACTCTACCAGATTAATCTCATTTCATCCTCACAGCACAACTGCTGTTGTAGGCATCTCTTAGCAAATGTCTGTGGAATAAATGAATGCGTGAATGAGGGAAAGAAAGCAAGCCAGGAGTGTGCACCAAAAAACCACCAGGGGCAACAGATATTCAGGGGGATCTTCATTACTTGGCTTGAGGTAAAAGCCATAAGCCTAAAGAAACCCTCCCACCATCCATGCAAAAGCAGGCTTCCTAATAAACCCACGCGTCTGTTGGATACGGGGAAGAATGGCCCTCGCTTTAGAGAACAGATTGGCTAACATTCCTTTGTACCCAGGGGATGAAGTTTTATTATCCCCATCCAGAATGTCTGGACCAGACGACTGGCTCCACTAACCAATCATGGCCAGAGAGAAAAGCAACAGCTCATCTATTCTCAAACCAAAGGGACTTTTTTGGGTAGCTGTTCCCCAGCTTTAAACTGGCTTATAAATAAAAGCCACTCAACGCGTCATTCCATTACCTCAGTACACATTTCCTAATTGTTTCTCTCGCTGGGTGTGCCAAGGAGTGAGGTGTCTCCAAGCAAGGGCGCCAGGGGGACTTTGCTGAGAATGTTTCAGGGCTGAGACCGGGACTGGGTCCCAGCCAGTGCTTTTCTCTGGGGGTACTATTGGAATTTGAGGCAGGATCATTCTCAGTGTGGCCGGTATAGAGCAGTGTCCTGCCCACTCAATACCAGTAATCCCCTTCTTTGCCAACAGCCATAAAACACCCCCCTCCCACCCCACATACCTCCAAATGTCTCCAGGGTAACAGGGTGGGGGAGAGGAGTACCGCCCTGGTGGAAATCCATTGCCATCTACCATGCATTGTTTTCCGGGCTAAAATTACTGTGGCCTTGATCTAGGCTGTAGGAGTTTAGGCCCTAAGTGGTTCATTTGTCTCTGTATTTCAAAGCCAGCAGATGAAATTCTCTAGGAAGAGTCATGGCTCTACCTCGGGGCGGGGTGGGTGGGGGTGGTTTCTCCTCTTTCCTCCCAGGCATGAGGATGGCTTTCATTCAGGCAAATCCTTGGACGATTCCTCATTTCCACAAGAGCATGTAGAACTTTCTCTCATCTCACCACTTGCCTGGAGAGTCTGACTGGTCAGTATTTAACAGACAACATTGCCACAACACATTTCAAGCTCAACACATCATTTCAACCTACGCATCAAAAACACAGCAAAAAGTGAACACTGGTTGCTTCTGGAGAGGGGAACTGGGAGCCTGGGTGGGAAAGAGATGTATTTTTTACTGCATATTCTTTTGTACTTTTTGAATTTTGAGCCCCAGGCATATACAATCCACTTGAAACAGAAATCCACTTGATAAAAAACTAAGCAGGGAGAAGCAATGATTAGAGAGGTTAGGGAATAATGCCTTTCAAGCCTCTAGAGAGTTGAAATGTCCTCTGGATTAGAGTAGCCTGGCAGAGCTGGTATTTGGCCCCCAGCCGAATGGTTCTGGTTTATGTCCAGTTCTGAATCGTGCTTTGTGTGGAGCCCATATTGAGGGTAATAGTCAGCAGGAGACCCGATCCTGTGAAACTGGTTGCTGTGCTACTCAGGAATGCTGTTGAGGACATTATTATATCACACCGGTGTCTCCTTTGTGAAACCCCATTCTTGCCTGTCATAATCTGAAGAACAGTTGGTTTGTGTTGACTTTCTGGACAGTGAATTACGTAATTCACTGGGCAGGTCTTGGATGAGCAGACAGGATGACTGGCAGCTTGGGCACTGCTGAGCTAAGGGCAGGGGCAGGTGTGAACATGGCATGAGAGGGACAGTGAGCAAACTAACCTCGACCTGGCTGGGGGAGGTCTGAGTAGGAAAGGTTCCCTCTCTGGGTAGACTCACCATGAAGAAACTGGCAGCCTGGGGTGCCTTAGACCTCTAGGCATTGTCGAGCTGCCCCTGAACTGTTCCATGAAGGCTGTTACTAAGGTGCTCCAGGGAACTCTCCATTCCCTGCCCCTTCCTGCAGCCTGAGGCTGCTTCCCAGGCTGGCTGTGAGCCCAAGATCCCTGGAGAGGGACACTTAGGGGGCACCGTCCACAAAGGGTCAGATGGGGTGTAAACACCTACAGGGATGTAGTAGTGCCTGAAGTCAAAGAAGAAGGGTGCCTTCCATAGGTCCACTCAAAGGGAAAAAAAAGTGATGGAGGGTCTTCTTTAAACATGGGTCAGCATCTCCCAGGCCCCAATGAGCCCACTCCTATTCATTACAGCGCCTGACCGTTGCATGTCCGGATCCTTTGAGCCCACTCTTATCCTCTGGAGAACATACAATCGGCTTTGGGGTCACAAAAGGTTTAGGTGGGGGCTTAGGGTCTTTAATCCCAAACTTTGTCCTTAGGAAGCTTAGGATCAGCACTGATCTTTCAGGGAGCTCCAAAGTGGCTTTGGAGGAGAGGTTCTTTGGCAGGGTCGGGGAGAAGTGGTGGTGGGAGGATGATCTATAAGGGGAATCAGAGTGGGTGGTGGACATCCCATGAGCAAGATGTCAGAGGAGGAGGAGTTTTTTCTGTTCAAGAACATCTTGGTGGGGCCGTGGGATGGGCCTCAGTACCGCCTCGCCCCTGTCTGGGCCTTCCACCTCCAGGCAGCCTTCACGGGCTTTGTCTTCGTTGTAGGGACGCCACTCGATGCCACAGTGCTGGTGGCCACACTGCGCTACAGAAAGTTGCGGCAGCCACTCAACTACATTCTGGTCAATGTATCCCTGGGGGGTTTCATCTACTGCATCTTCTCTGTCTTTGTCATCTTCATCACCAGCTGTCATGGATACTTTGTCTTCGGCTGCCATGTTTGTGCTCTGGGGGCCTTCCTGGGCCGTACAGCAGGTATTGCGGGAGAAGGGGGCTGGGGGGAGGCAAAGGACACCGCTCCATGATTGGAACCAGGGGCCAGGCTGTTGGGTGAGAGTGGGCCCCAAAGAGGAGTCTGGGGGATAGAAGTTTGGTGCTCTTTTGCATACTGAGATATAAAGCCACCCAGACTAGAAGTCTAACCGAGTCCCAAACTCTACTTCACTAACCACTCCAACCCTTCCCTCCCTGTGCTTTCTCCACCCCATCTGTATTCCACTCTGCCTGCCAGGATGAGTGGGGCTGTTTACCCTCTTACCCTCACATTTCATCACAGGTCTGGTGACAGGCTGGTCACTGGCCTTCTTGGTCTTTGAGCGCTACATCATCATCTGTAAGCCCTTCGGCAACTTCCGCTTCAGCTCCAAGCACGCACTGATGGTGGTCCTGGCCACCTGGACCATTGGTATTGGTGTCTCCATCCCACCCTTCTTTGGCTGGAGCCGGTGAGAGTGCGGGGCCGCTGTGCTGATGTAGCTAGAAGCTCAGGTTGCGAGGGCGGGAAGAGAGTTGGGTATAGTCTTTGACCTCTAATTTTTAAAGAGCTGGTGGAATAAATAAGGGAAAGGGCTGTGGGAGACAAGTGCTAAAGTTTACCCTGCAGTTGCAATTGCTAAAGGCTCGCTGGTGAGGACAGAAAATACCCGCTGCCTGAAGTCATTCTGGGTTCTAAGTGGAGAACACAACCCAAGAATCTCATCTTCCTCTCTACTAATTGAGCCTCACAGTGAGTAAGTGCTTGGTCCCTTGCAGGTTTGTCCCCGAGGGTCTTCAGTGTTCCTGCACCGTGGGCACCAAATATTACAGCGAGTACTATACCTGGTTTCTCTTCATTTTCTGCTACACTGTGCCTCTCTCCCTCATCTGCTTCTCCTACTCTCAGCTGCTGGGGGTCTTCAGAGCTGTGAGTGCCTTTCGTGAGGGTCAGGGAGGAAGGGATCACAAGGCTCTAGGTGAGAGGGAAGAGCGGGTAAGTGCTCTAGAACATAAAACATTCGGAAACGTCCAGTCAGGTAGAGGGGTATCAAAAAGCAGTGAAGGAAGTGGGGACAGGGAGATGATGAAATGAAGAATAAGGCTGAGTAATTCCTGCTCAGGTATATCAAGAGACGCATGTGATCTTTTCCATCGTCACAGACCAGAGAGCTGCCTCCATCTTGCCTTCCTCAAGGAGGGGGAAACAGAGGGACTAGGCCAAAAGCTGGGACAGCAGAGAGACAATTAGAGTAGATGGCCCCCTAGTTGAAGAGTCCAGAGATCTAGGAGTTCAGGGCCAGGGATAAGAGGGTGTGATGTTTTCTGTGCTCTTACCAGGTTGCAGCTCAGCAGCAGGAGGCAGCTACAACCCAGAAGGCTGGGCGGGAGGTGAGCCACAAGGTGGTGATGATGGTGGGATCCTTCTGTCTCTGTTACACGCCCTACACTGCCCTGGCCATGTATATAGTCAACAACCATAACCACGGGGTGGACTTACGGTTTGTCACCATTCCTGCCTTCTTCCCCAAGAGTGCTTGCGTCTACAATCCCATCATCTACTGCTTCATGAATAAGCAGGTAAAGCTCTCTATTTATATTCCTAAGACCTGGTTCTTCTCAACAATGACTTTTAACTCCAAGCACCTGGGACTCCACTCAAAGGGTTTCTTGGGGTCAACAGGGAAGGCATGGAAACCCTTAGCAGGCTAGAAAGCACTTGGTAAGTAAGCCCAGGGATGAAGGCGTGGTCATCCAGACAAGATCACAGAACTCAGGGAAGACAACTTGAGCCATAAAATTCGAGTTGCTCCAAAGGGCAGGATGAGAAGTGAAAAGGCTTTCCGTTTCACTGAAAAACTGATAGATCAGCGGTGCCCCTAAATTTCCATTTCACGAGTTCTTAATCCTTTCCAACTTCTAGTCTGCACGACCATTTATGTGAAACACAGAGATCACAACACATGCGTACGTTTCTAAAACAGCTTATCATCTGAAGGTACCAGGTGGCTTCCTATCCCAAATCCTGAATCTAAGCTAATAACCCAAACTCAGACAAATCAAGGAGGGTTCCTGCCGTGTAGAGCTAACACTCTGCTTTGAGAATTGTTATTTTGTTTCCTCACTTCCAGAGATGGATTCAAAACGAATGCGAAACCTCCTGGACAGAAACAGAATTGGCAGTCCTTCCCCAGTTGGGAGCGCTTTCAAGTAATGGTGGGGTGGGTGGGCGGGGCTATTCTGGGGTCACTTTTGACAGTGCTCTTATGGGGCAGGGTGGTTTGTGAGGTCTCCCAACAGTGAAATTCTACACATTCTCAGAGTTAGCCAGAATGTGTAGGGATTATCACTGTAGACCCAGGAGTAGTGCGTAGTCTTAGCCTGGAATATAGCTAGCTCTCAGTATTGGGAAGATATAATCAAAACCACCTGAGGAGATCCTGTGTATAGGGCATTGTGCAAGGCTTTGAGGATACAAAGAATGAGATCTTTTTTCCCCTATGCTTCCTGATGTTATCTCCTCTGTACCGCTCTACCAAGGGGACTATCTCCAATTCTGCTCTTTCCTCCAGTTCCAAGCTTGCATCATGGAGATGGTGTGTGGAAGGCCCATGACAGATGAGTCTGACATGTCTAGCTCCCAGAAAATGGAAGTTTCTACCGTCTCTTCTAGCCAAGTTGGCCCCATACTGGCCTGTTTGCAGCAACAAGGATTTTACATTTAAGGAAATTTCTACCTTGCCTGTCAAAAACCAAACTACTACAACACAGAAAACGGGAAGGGGAGTGATAGCAATTTGAGGTCAATTTTCCATTTTCCTACTATTTCCTTCCTACCTACACAAAGCTACTGTTCCAGCTGGGTCTACTTCAGACCACCCCAAAGGCCATTTCAACAATCATCAGTTTCTACTCTTTAATTTTTTTTTATTTTTTGTGGTACACGGGCCTCTCACTGTTGTGGCCTCTCCCGTTGCGGAGCACAGGCTCTGGACGTGCAGGCTCAGCGGCCATGGCTCACGGGCCCAGCCGCTCCGCGGCATGTGGGATCTTCCCGGACCGGGGCACGAACCCATGTCCCCTGCATTGGCAGGCAGACTCCTAACCACTGCGCCACCAGGGAAGCCCAGTTTCTACTCTTAAGTGGCAGAATTTACAGCACTTGGAGAACAGATTTCTACATACACGGCAACTGTAAAGCAGTCTGGCTGATGATTTTTCAGTGTGTACACAACAATTATTTTCCTTTCTAGTAACGTTTTTTCCCTACTGGGGATCTGTTCAAAGATGATACATTTTGAATTAAAACAAACTTACGGAAACACTTTAGAAATGGGAGAGACATTAAAAAAAGAACCTTTAGAGTTTCCCTGGTGGCGCAGTGGTTTAAGAATCCGCCTGCCAATGCAGGGGACACGGGTTCGAGTCCTGGTCCGGGAAGATCCCACATGCCGCAGAGCAACTAAGTTCATGCGCCACAACTACTGAGCCTGAGCTCTAGAGCCTGCGAGCCACAACTACTGAGCGTGCGAGCCTAGAGCCCGTGCTCCACAAGAGAAGCCACCGCAGTGAGAAGCCCACGCACCACAACAAAGAGTAGCCCCCGCTCACCGCAACTAGAGAAAGCCCAAGCACAGCAACGAAGACCTAATGCAGCCAAAAATAAATAAATAAAATAAAACAAAACAAAACAAAAACCTTAAAAAAACCCTTTAGTAGGTCCCAAATGAGTTTGAAAGAACTTTCTTATGCTGTCACTGCCAGTAATTGCTATCGCTTTGGCTGGGACAGCCATGCCCACAAACCCCTGTACCAGCATGAATATTCCAGGTGCTTCCTTTCCCCCCACACCTCCTATCTGGCTAAACCTATATATCTGTTTTAAGCTGTGTATTTACTAAAGTTAATAGTTTAATTCCCTTCATGTTCTCAAAATGAATTTGCACATCTAATACCATTTATAAACTATACAAAATGTTCAAAAAACTGTTTTACCTTATACTCCCTCTCCCCACCCCCTGAAGAAGAGACTTTTTGAAATAAAAATCAAGATAAATGTGTGTACATTCAGAAATGGCTTGTGTTTGGTATCAGGCAATTATGTAATGAGCAGCTGGGCTCCTCTCCAGTTATATGGCCTAAGGGAAGCAGAGAAGGGTTACAGCTGTAGAAGGATGCTAGAAGATTTCAGGAATAGGAAGAAAAGAGTAACCAATTTGGGAGAAGGCAGTAACTTCTCTGGGTTGGGGTGGGGGGTATGATAAACCTTCCAGGAGAGCTCTTTTTCTGTGCCATTTTATAACACCCATAATTCTAAGCAAGAGTTCCATTTCTTAAGAAAATAAAGGACATTCATAACCCACAGTGAATGTAAACAGTTTTATTTAGAAACAGATAGGTACCTGTTTGCATTACAGAATATAAAACTGGGTTTACACTCTATAAAAAATAACCAATATCCAAATTCAAGAGAGCTAGCATTCACAGAACACACTATGTGGGTGTGCAGCTACTGTTCACCAGCCTCAGGCTTGATTTAAACCAAAAGAAAAAAAAAAAAAAAATCCAGGGGGATCATTAGAGATTAGAGTACAATGCTTACTGATGAGCACCCAGCATCCAGAAGTTGCTGTCTTAGCAGATGGAGGTTTGCTTTCTAGGTGCGTGACTTTAACATAAGGCCTGGGTTCTCTGTACCTAGTGACCTATGAGGATCTCCTGCCACACAATTCATGACGTGCCCTCTCCAAGCCAGGGTTGGTGGGCATTATTAATTATCCCTGATCTTCTTAACAAGAAAAATGGGGAATCTGGAAGGCAGAGAATTTCCACTCCCTTATACTGGGGTTAAAAGAATGTATCCACTCTCAAGAGCTCAATGCAAAGGCTGGGGTGGAGTTACACGATATCCGGCTTTTTACCAGGCCAAGTAGCCCACCTCAACGTGATTGTGGAAGACCAAAGGATACACCTAGGTTCAGATTATAATAATCACCCAGCACCACCTGAATGTATTATCCAGAAAGATATATGAAATAATAACGGATATATATATATATATTTGTCTTAGTAACCTGAGGGCTAAAAACTTGGAATATAATAATTCTTCTCAAAAGAGGTCCATCTGTATGAAAGGGACCAAAAAGGACAGTTTCCTGTTATGTAAAATATAGGTAAAGTGAGTTGGGAACAGAGGTGGTTTCTTCAGCTCCTTCTACAATGTCCCTCTCTTTGATCAGGGTTGGCCATGTTGATTCATGATAAACTTTTTTTTGGCAGTGGGGAGATGGGAACGTAGGGAGTGATGGGTCGAAGGCAGGAAGGGTGAGCGATGGTCCTCAAACCAAAGAGCCCTCTCATCTTTGAGTCTTAGCTCAAGCTCTCCAGCTGACACAGAAACAGGCCTGGTAGTAAGTGGTTAGCATTCTGAGGTACGAGGATCCCTGGTAAATTCAGCAGCATGTGGTTTTTGGAAACCAGCCCACAAGATAAGAACACTGCAACCAAGCCCCTAACTAATACTGCTATTTAACCACCGTCCAAAGGAGAAAGGAAAGAAAAAAATCCCACCACACTAGGAGGTTCTAAGCTTTCATTTAAGGTGGTCCAAATAATCTTCTCTTTATTTTATCTTCGAGTTTCTTAAGAGAATCCTCATTCAGTGATCATTTCTCTCATTAAAGGCACTTTCAATGACATGATTGGAAAGGAGTACATTTTAACTGCAGTGCAGATTAATTCCTTGGAACACCTGGGGAAATAGGAGCTGAATAGGGGCACTTACAGTGATTCAATAGGCAAGACAGTCTTGAGCACTTCAATAGATGCATACCCAGAAAAAAGCATGTGCCCTAAAAACACTTGTATTTTTCCTTTAGTTTTCCAGCTGTTTCTATGTATAGCTCTGTAAAGAGATCACACTCAGTACTTGACTGATTTTCAAGACAGTGGCCCCAACTCTTCCCACCACAGCTGTGCTTGACAAAATTAGCAAACAGCTAGTCTTACAGGGAAGGAAAAAAAAAAGAATGAATGAAATCAAGTTGAGCCAAGCTTTCTTACAGCACAGGGATCGGTCCTTGCCCAGACAATGCCAGGACCTGGACCTGGAGCAGCTGAATGAAATATTCGGCCCCTCCAACTTATGCAGGATACTTTTCAATAGGCAAGTTTAAGTGTTATCTCTCTAAATATGAATTGTGGGGACTATTTCTTCCCTCTTCTCTCTCTTGAACATTTCTTATTGATCTCAGGCTTAAAATTAATTAACTCAGAATTATAAAAATTATATGATAAGGGTTGAGACAGAGTGAAGGGCTAACGTTTGCCTACAAAGTGTGAGCTGAGGATCTTGATCCTTCATATCATACTCCCAACCAGAGAACAAATACAAAAATAAACACACATGTTATACATAATACAAAGTGTAAATCTACAAACACAAGTGTACTAATTAGAGTTTTTCCTCAGAAGCACAGTTTCCCTCCAGTCCCTCAGAGAGGAGGAGGAATGGGGACGGGATTTTTAAGACAGCTTTTCATGTCTTAAAAAGTTTGTAATAACAGTCTCAGTAGCGCAAACAATTTCATGTGAAACCAGAAGCTGTAAAAATAAATTACTTTTGAAGAAATGTAGGTTCCTCTGTCTGCAGCTCAGAACTCGTCATGTCGTACTAAGGCCTCACCAAAATCTGTGGCCTGGCTGCCCACAAATAAATCATACTTGTCAACAATCTCCTCCTTGGTAAGCTTGCCATCCTGAAAGTAGAGAGAACAGTGAATTGATGCAAAATATATTTCTTATTTCAAATTTAGAACACTGTTAACATACAACAGGGGTTAGTCAAGATTTACGATTCTAATTCCCACTAAATTAAATGTGAACTCAATCCTCACTGCCCACCCCCAACACACACACACACACACATACACACACACGCACACACGCAAAGAGGGAGTAAACAGCAGTTGATACATTTTTCTTATCAAGGAAGTTAAGTGGAAGGATGGAAATAATATAGCTCAATAGCTCAATGCTAGGGATATGGGTTTGTTTTTTGAGAAGAAAACGCTCCCTTTCGAGCAAAATGTGGGACATCTCCTAGATATGGGTAAGAGATAGTCAAGAATAGCAGGAAAAATACTTCAAAGTGAATCAAGTCTTTGTCTAACAGGAACAATGAAATATGCTAATATCAAGCACGGTCTTCAACTCCAAAATGACCTAGTCACCAATCATATTCCAGACAGAACCCCAAATGAAGGCTCAGATACTCATCTCAAGAATTATCTAGGCTAGATTCCCAAGGGATGACTACATCAGTTTCCTTTTCTCACATGTCTCAGGACACAGCACCTGGCTACTGAAGTGACTGAGCAAGAACTCAAAACAGACTGACCCTCAAAAAGGCTCAATAAGAAACTGCATTAGGAGCCTCTCTGGTGGCGCAGTGGTTAAGAATCCGCCTGCCAATGCAGGGGACACGGGTTTGAGCCCTGGTCCGGGAAGATCCCACATGCCGTGGAGCAACTAAGCCCATGCGCCACAACTACTGAGCCTTTACTCTAGAGCCTGCGCGAGCCACAACTACTGAAGCCTGTGCCTACAGCCTGTGCTCCGCAACGAGAGAAGCCACCCAAATGAGAAGCCTGCGCACGACAACGAAGAGTAGCCCCCGCTCACCACAACTAGAGAAAGCCCGCGCGCAGCAACAAAGACTCAATGCAGCCAAAAATAAATAAAATAATTTAAAAAAAGAAAAAAGAAACTACATTAAAACCAAAGATCAGTCTAAATAAAAGAACATTTAGAATTCTAGAATCCCCCAACTTTAGACTGATTTTCAGTTTGCTCTAAGGAGAGCACTCAAATCTCTGAAAAAGGTGACAGGGCTCAGTAGTAACACGACTCTTTTAATGAACTGAATGCCTTCTCAGATAGTTGATCAAGGGTAAT